GGGGGGGGGGGGGGGGGGGGGGGGGCGGCTAAAATAGTATCAGCTTGGTAGACAAAACAGTGAAAAAGACACTCCATTTCCATTATATTTTACACTTATATAGGGTGTGACATCATTAAAATGCATATTTCACTATTAAATAGTGGTGATTTCTCATATTTTAAATAAATTAAAATATATAATTTAATAAGTCAATATGTAGTAGGACGTATAATGTTTAGGCATAAAGATTGTGGAGATAATTTAACTTTCAAACTCAGTTATCCCAACCTGGGAGTGCTAGCAGAATGTGAGAAATGGGGGCATTTCAGGGGGTGTGGGGAAAAGTGATTATAAGAGCTAAGGGCCAAGTTACTTTTAAGTTATGATTTAAATGTGGATACATTTGATAATTTCTTCATTAACGTTTAATTTATGGAATATTCGCACGCTTATTTTTTAAAAATTCCACCGTTTCTTTCTCTTCAATTTTTAAACTCAATTAATACAAAATATTAAAATATAGCTTTAGCGGATTAATTATTTTATTAATAAATTCACTTGGCGTTGACGTGAATTTCATTTTTGACCAATAATTTTCAAGATACAATCTCAAATTTGGTGTGGTTCGGTACTATATCACTTTATATATTTAATTAAGAAAGCAATACAATTTTATGCCAAAAACATTAATTCTCACATGCCGCTTGATATATGTGCAGTAAATTTTATTTTTAAAAATCATTATTGCTTTTGTACTAATATTCTTTATTTCATTTTTATTTTAAAAATAATAAATAAGTTCAAGTAATATTTTGATATATTTGTTGGGTCTGTCTAGTTGGAATCATTTATTAAAATTAAAAAAGGACATGCTGATAGTATTACTTGGAATTGTTCTTTTGTAACACTTGTGAAAATATTATGTTGTGGAATTCTGTTGGATTATTGTGCTTGTAACTATTCTTTGAAAATCCTAGTGAAACGCAGTTGTTTTAATTCCTTGAAGAATATTCTGTTAATGTATTGTTTTAATTGAATATGCTTAATTATTTTAAAAATAAAGGTAAGTGAACACTGATTAATTTTTACATTTCAATACATGCCAACCTGCAGGATAAAAAAAAATGTACAAAAAGTCCCCAATACAACAGCATGGAAAAACTGTACAGAAAAAATGCAAAGTTGAAAAAGTATACTTTTTAACTTTTTCAATCATTTTTATCAATGTTTTGAATGGATGAATGAAAATAAATAGTCTCCCCTTTGCTCCAGGCTCATTTAAGCATGTTCATGTCATTCATTAAAGGGTAGATCGCATATTTTAAATGAAATAGCTTGCTATAAGTCTGATTTTTGTCAAAATTTGACTTTTTTTACACTGGTCAATAGCAATTTTATTAAAAATTGACTGATGTTAAATTCCATAGCAAATTAAAATTAATTAGACATATTTCTTTGCTTAATTATGCTAGATGTAGTAATACAGATTCCTGCATTTAAATTAATGAAGTAAAATAAAGTATTTCTGGCTTGACAAAGTAGTTAATTTTATCTTCAACTTATAACCTTATTTTTCAACGTGCAGGGGGGATTAAACCATGCCGCTTCAATATATTAGAATAATGACTAATCATTATGCTGGCGATTGATAGTAATATTAAATTTATTTAATCATTTACAATAATAATTCCAGAATGGAGGTTGTCTGCCCCTTTTAAATAGCTTTTACGGCTTAACAAATTATCCTTTATTTTGCAATGTTCTATTAGAGATACAAGGGTGATGGGGGGGGGGGGGGGGGGGGGGGGGGGGGTGTTCAGATATGGCACCAATGCTTATTAGAGCAACCACAAGTCTACACACAGCACCTGAGGTAAAAAATGTGTTCTTTTATGAGCTTTTGGTGCGTATGTGATTAAGTGCACAATTTTTATAGATTATGCACCATTCCGCATATTTTAAAAGGTACTGTGGTAGCATCCCCCAGCTAGTTTATTATAAATTAAAAGAGCACTTACTATCACTGCAGTTCTTGTTAAGTATTACACAAACTCCTTGTAATGAGTTTACCACCGTACTACACTGTCTTAGCATTAATGAATGACCAATAAAAGCACACTGTTTCTAAATTGAGATGGCCTACCAATCCATAACTTGGTCACTTTGAATGAACAATTAGAAGATAAGCTTTTTGTTTTCCCTGTTGAATTTATTGCACCACCAGGTTTCAATTTGTGTTTTGTGCAGCAATATTTCTTTTATAAATCCAGTGAAATCTGTACAAAAGCCTGTACAGCTGTACAACTTGGCAAACGTATAAAAAATGGCTATTTTAATATTTCAAAACAAGGCTATTAGCCAGTGTTAAGTGAAAAATGGATTTGAATTTTCTGACATCTTTTATTTAGATTTTATTTTTTAATTTAAATTGTTTAAATTGTTACATGATTTATGGATGGGTCTAAGTAAGTACTTCAATATTATGCATTGGCATAACATAAATAAAATAGTCTAAAATAGTTTTAATTTTTTTATTTTTACCATCCACAAAGACGACATAAATAATTTAAAGCATCTGAAACAATATTTTGCCAAGCAAAATTAGGCCTATAGCCTAGGTGACACTAAGTATAAATCAATTTGATTCCAATTATTGGCTGTTTCAGATTTAGCGGCCCACGTTGACTTTGTTAAGGTTAGGCATAGGGATCGATTTAGGGTTCAGGTTAGGCATAGGGATCGATTAAAGACGTAAAAGTGCGTGCATGGAAATAAACGCGGGCCGCGTTCTCTGAATTTACCCAATTATTAATTACTCTTGATTTGTTACTTTTGTAGTGGGTGCAAGGCTTAGACTTAAGGCTTAGGGTTAAAGGCTTAGTTAGTCAAAAAATTCATCATATATGAATATGATAGTGATAGGTTGTATGTATTATGTAGGCAATGTAGGGGATCGGTTTAAAAGAGCATAGTAAGTATATTAATTAATTCGTAAATGTACATAATTTAAAACTATAAGTATATAATAATAATTTTATAATCATAATAAAGTATAGCTGCACAGTATAGCCATATAGCAGTATTTCAGATTTAGACTAGAACTAGAGCACTTTCTGATTCTGACAGTTTCCAGAAAAGTTTGGGAAGCTTTGATTTTGATTATTTTTATCAACGGTTCTGAATAATTAAAACATCTCTTTCTACGTAAAAAATAATGGACTTACCCGTTAACAGAGATTGTTGTGAAACAATGGCCAGCTGATTGTATTCCTTTTCGATATGCGACAACCGGGCAGGACTCGAACCTACAGCAGACGTACTTGGGTTTGGGAGGACTACCGTTTTTGCATGTATTAATTGATTGCTCACGGCCAAAAGCAGTTTATCCTCCTCAAATTGTGCTTCACTTATATCCAATAAAGATTCGTCGCTGTCCACATCACTTTTCGATTCCTTGCTTATGTTATCAGAAAAATTTGAAGGTCGCTTGGTTAAGTTTCCGTTGACTAAAACATCATCGTATAAATTGTCACTATCCGCCATTTTGTCAACATTGGTCACATGCTTAAAATGCTATTTTAAGAGTAGTTAGGTCACGTGGTTACTAGTAAGTATTTTATTTTAAAATAAAAATCTCAAATATTTTACTTAATCCTTTTTAAGTACTTTTCTAACAAGGATATAAAATAGTGTCACTTAAAAAGTGCTTTAAAAATTTACAAAATTTTATTAGTTGGTTGATATTATTGTGCTATATCATGGGTGAAAGGTCACTCAAACTTGCTAGGTCAAAGGTTACAATAATATTCTAATAGAAGGTACAAAAACCAGAAGGTACTGACTTGTTTTGTTACAGATATTACTATTTTATTCTTTTATTTACAATCAATTACCAGGTACCAATTACCAAAACAAGCTGCCGTCTGTTAAAAGTGACAGCCATGTACAACTACTCAATTGAAGAGTGCCGATCAAAAGAGTTTCCTCAAATAAAAGGTAGGCCTAATTATTTCTTGTAAATTATACTGTCGGTACCCGGTGCTGGTACTCAAGCCATTTAAGTTTAATAATAAATTGAATAATAATATGTAGAGTGTTGTGAATGTTTGGTAAGGGAGGGGGTGGTTGTTGATCATGAGGTCAGAGCGTGAAGTTGGTTCCTGGTGTTGAGCTTTACTCGTATGCTGAGATTTGGGAGTGTTATGTTGAGATATGAAAGTAAGGGTAGTGAGTTAATAATAGTTGGTCGTGAGATGAGCCAAGAGTAAGAGAAGCGAGATCTTCGAGTGTTTGAGAGTCCGGAGTAGATTGTTACTGTCGTTAGAGTAGTGTTTAGAGTCGAGTAGAGAGAGATAGTAAGTTTGTTAGATTCGCTGTGGGGCTTTTTGCTGACTCTGAGGATATTTCTCTGCCAGATATATTCATTATATTCTTCTTCTTAGATAAAAGAAGTCTTCTATATATTAAGGGCCCACAATCAATTTATTGAATTGATCATTTGATTTTGATCATTTTGGCTACTATGCAGGTAGAGGGGGATTTGCAGTGTTTCTGTGCCTGTAGTTGATGAGGATATTTCACTGGTTGCAAGGGCCACTTAGTGAGGGTATCATGCACTGGGGGTAGGAAGGCCTCAACTGTACCTTTTGAAAGCTTGTTCCAGTCCCTGATTGTCTTGGCGGGAATGAGCAGTTCCTATACTGGCTTCTAGCTGGTATGAGCCAGCATTGCCTGTCATGGCCTCGTCGCTGTCTATGGGGGAGAGGGATGAGTTTCTGTTTAAGTTTAATGCTGGAGCAGTGGACCAGCCCATTATTAATCTTGTACATTTTGGAGAGCCTGGATAGTCGTTGTCGTTCCTCCACTGGTGACCAGCCTAGTGTTTCCAGCATGCTGCAAACACTAGAGGTATTCCTGTAGCGGTTCAGGACAAAGCGTGCTGCCCGTCGCTGGACCGCCTCCAACCTGTCGATGCTCTTCTGGGTAAATGGGTCCCAGACTGAAGATGCATAATTTAAAACCAGACAAACAAGGCTTTATAAGCTCTTTCTTTCACACAGGAGTTGCCAATCTTTAGATTATGCCTTAAGAACCGCATGGTCTTGTTTGCCTGGTTGCACACATTATTAATAAGCTTGTCGCAGAGGACCTCTCTTTGAATGGGAACACCAGGTACTTAACGGAAGAAACTGGCTCAAGTATCTGGCCATGCAGTTGGTATTGGTAGTGTAGAGGAGTACAACTTCTAGAGACTGACAGTGTCTGGCACTTGGCAGGGTGAAATTCCATGTCCCAGCTCATCTCCCACTCTTCTAATCCTGTTGTATCTGGTCTTGGTCAGATCTTTTGGTGATCGCTCTATACTCCATGATGTCATCTGCGAAGAGTCTTGCTTGGGACGTCAGTTTCTTGGGTAGGTCATCAATGTATGCTAGGAACAAACAGGGGCCAGGCATTGATCCCTGGGGGACCCTTGACGTAACACAGTCAAAGGAGGAGCTTGTACCTTCCACCACTACTGCTTGGTATCGGTTGCCAAGGAAGCTAGCGATCCATGTTTTAGTAGTGCCTTGAATCCCATATCTCTGAAGTTTGCGTAGAAGCAAACTATGATTGACACGGTCAAATGCCTTTGAGAAGTAAATCAGCAGCACATCAGTTTGCGTGCTGTTCTCCAGATTGGTCATCAAGTCTTCTACAAATTCAAAGAGCTAGTTGTCACATGTTCTATTGACTCAGAAGCCATGTTGACAGTCGAGTATATTTTGGCTTTCAAGATGCTTCATGAATGTGCTAACGATTATGTGCACCAACAGTTTGCATACCATGCTGGTGAGGGATATCGGACGATAGTTGGCTGGGTCGGAATGCTCCCCTTTCTTGTAGATTGGAGTGACATGCGCTGTTCTCCAGCCTGCTGGAACCTTTCCTGTGCACAGCAACGATTGGAGGATTGTCAGTGCAGGAGCGATTTATTTGGCTAATTTTGAGCACTCGTGGTTTGATGTTGTCAGGACCACATGCTTTGTAGGGTTTAATGGTTTTGAGGAGGGCAAGCACACCTTGCTCTGAAATCTGGATATCTGGTAGGCTTTGTTCATCATGTTTATCATACCAGTATTTATGTACCAAGTGGATGTTTTAGTACATGGAAATACAGAATTTATAAATAACTATTCAGTGTTTGAGTTACTTGACCAATTTAATTTTACCAATAATGGAATACAGAAGTCAGAATAATTTACCAACCATTTTATAACACTATACTGCTTTTAAAATCTTAACTTAACAACTCTGATCGCAGTTGTCTCTACTTTTGCTCCAGGGGCTGTGTATGTTGATCATGCGGGTGCTACATTGTTCAGCAATTCACAGATTGAAAGTGTTCATCGTGATCTAGCAACGAATTTGTATGGAAACCCACATAGCCATAATGCCTCTAGTAAACTGGCAACAGACACCATTGATCAGATCAGATATAGGTGAGTTAGAAGTAAAATATGATATTCCAATCGGGCTGTATATTTTTAGTTTCTTAAAACAAATATGTGATTACCAAAATAACACCTCTACACAAAGTCCCACAAAACATATACAAGAGCATAAAAACCTCTACCAAAATAATAATTCAAAACAATTATAATTTACAATGCTTTATAACTTTTTCAATTAGTTATCACTGTTTTAAATACCTTAAATCTTTTATCTTTTTATAATTTCTCCATTTGTTTTAAATCCAAAACAAACGTCCTTGTAAATAAATTTTTATTTTACGCTGTTAAATTGATGTGATTATTTCACCATTATTATTAATTTTCCTTCTTTGAATCAAAGTTTCGTTTGCTCAACTTTTTTTTAAAAAATGTAATTCTAGATCATGAGTCTTTTATTTGATACCAAAGAAAATATTAAAAATTTTGCGACACCTCAGTTTGAAACTGCTGCACCGGATCATTGGTGGAAGTATAGAAGTTTTACATTATCTCTAAAAAAAAAAAAAAAAGCTTTAAAATAAAAAATTTAATTATATTTTTTTTATTTTTTTTTTTTTTTTTTTTTTTTTTTTTTAAATATTAAAAATTTTGCGACACCTCAGTTTGAAACTGCTGCACCGGATCATTGGTGGAAGTATAGAAGTTTTACATTATCTCTAAAAAAAAAAAAAAAGCTTTAAAAAGAACAATTTAATTATATTTCATTGACATTTTTTGACAGATTGCTCCAGTTTTTTAACACCAACCATGAGGAATACAGTCTAATATTTACCTCTGGCTGCACAGCATCTTTAAAACTTATTGCTGAAAGTTTTTCCTTTAGTAATGGTATGTTCTTGTGTTGTTTTTTTTATCTAACTATATTTACTCCTCTGCATTTTTTAAAAAAAATGTTTGTGTGCATAGTTTGTCTCTGCTTATATTTTCTGTCTTGAAAATTCCATTTCAGGGAATTCATCCGAAGATGCCGGTGTGTTTTGTTTCTTGGAAGATAACCATACATCTGTTCAGGGCATGCGTGAGGCTGTTGTGGACAGATGCCAAAGTGTCTTCTGCCTGGATGAGGGGGAGTTGATCAATGCTCTGAGAAACCCTGGCGGCTGTGCACACAGTGATGAGTCATCGTCTGTTGATTCCCCACAATATTTATCGCATTCACCTTCAGCACACTCTCTGCTGGCCTACCCTGCACAATCAAATTTTTCTGGGAAAAAGTACCCACTGCAGTGGATCAAAGAAATTCAAGAAAATGGTTTGGGCATTCCAGGAAGAAGGTATGTGCTGATTTTTTAAAAAAATTCATCTTAACAAAACGGTAAATGTCACTATTACCCAATAGCCTTGACAGTGCAAAACAATTTTAAAAATTTTTAGTTTAATACTCTTTGCAAATTTATAAAAAGTTCTCATGGATATTTTTAAAAATATCCTTGCTGTAACAGCAATGCAGCTACTTTTTTATCGTACATTTTTTTGAAGTATGTATTTCTTTCCATGTTTCAAATTTTGTTACAGCATAAATTACATCAATGGTTATATTAATCTTGAGTCACACATTTGTTTTTTTATCATACATATAAACTTTCTGCCTTGCTGGATGTATTAAAGTCCATAATTAAGTTTGTTAAACTGTATGTACAGGGTGGTGAGCCCAGACCTAGGTTGGGGAACCGCGCTATATAAAACCACTAATAATAATAATAATAATAATTTCTGACAAGATGTCACTTAGCAGTGTCTAATTGTAAAAGGGAAGTGTGTTTAGATTTAAATTTTAATTAGTTATTTTTTTAATTTTGGAAGTGTCACGCCCTGGGTTGTGAGGGGTGTGTTCTGAGCTTGGTGACAGTGGGAGGAAGGGGTGTAAAAAAACAGTGGGATATACTTTATACATTATGGACAGCCCCATAGTCATATTAATAAAATGACAATCCAGCTCAGCCTTTAAATCATCCCCTTTTCTCTTTCCCAATATGTTTGTCATATTTTATGTTGTTGAACACACTTGGAAACATCTTTGAAAAATTGTACTTGTTCTTTTTAAGTTGAAATCTCAACTTATAGTTTCACACTTTTTTTATTTGATGATCTTGTTATCAAACATTTAGCACAGCAGCCTCAGAAAAATGGTTTGTTCTTCTGGATGCTGCAAGTTATGTCAGCACAAACAAACTAAATCTGTCTGAGAGCAAGCCTGACTTTGTCACAATTTCCTTCTACAAAATATTTGGTTACCCAACCGGACTAGGTAGGTTGTTTTCAAGCCGGTGTGGGACTAGTCTAAATTTGAATTATCAGAAACATTGAGGATTTATCAAATGTGTGCGCACATTGTTTTTTTGTTTTAAATTATATTTATAAAGTATGGACTGATTATGAACACTAAATTGGTTCTTTTATTAATTGCTTTTTAGAATACTTTTTTTCTTTGTACCGGGTATTTTTTATTAATTGGACACTAGTGGCTGTCTCAATTTATGTGTAAGGCAGAGGTTTTTAAACACTGGTTTGCAAAAAAAAAATTCCTGCTTGTAAGCCTTATAGTTTTTTTTATAAATTTTGCGAACTGATAAAATTTAAGATGTTCTGTTATTATCATTTTTGTTCACTGCACAGTTCCTGGTTATTTTAATGATTTTAGAAATTTTAGAAATTATATTATCAATTAGGTCTATATTTAGAAACTTATTTTTCTTTAAATGGTGTGTAATTAAATAATGTAATAGCAATTAGGCCTGCATGATTGCTGTATAATTTAAATATTACTTATGTTGACTGGTGTGCAGTTGTATAAAGGTTGGAGAACCTTTGGTATAACTTGTGTATAATCTTGATATTCTAAATATTTGTAATGAACTACCTGTGCCACAAACGCCTCTCTTCAGGTGCCCTGCTGGTAAACAAGCGGGCCTGGAACACATTGAAGAAAACCTACTTTGGTGGTGGGACTGTTGCCATGAGCACGGCCAAGGAAAGGTTCCAAGTGTTCAGAGAAACTCTCCATGATAGGTAGCGTAGATATATTCATGGATAGTTACTCATATTTTTGGGGGCAAATTTGATCATAGAGCTAAAATAATTTCAATGGTTTTTATTTTATTACAGGATTCTGTATTGCTTTTGTTTTGAAAGATTATTTTTTTCCAAATCTTTTCACAGATTTGAAGATGGTACCTTACCTTTTCTCAGCATCATTAGCTTACGACATGGCCTGGATATCGTACAGAAATTAGCTGGTCAGAGTTGTTTTTGTTAAAAGTGTTTTTTTAATATTTATTATTATTGTCAATTTCCAATAACTTTTCAAAATAGTTAGTACAATTTAAAACTAATTAATTACTTTCTGTGGTAAGAAAATTGAAGTAAGAACTATTAAATATGTTCAGTGTGTTTAAAAATAATTAATTGTGTCTTGTTTTAAAAAAATGGTAATATTAAAGGCTAAAGAAGTGCAAAAAAAAAAAATGTTTCAATATTATCATAAATATCTGATTCATAATCAAACAATTCATCTTAAATTGTTCACAAAGTCTAATCACAATGTGTTTTTCTTTACCTTGCAAGGTGGCATCACCAAGGTTTCAGAGCATGTTTTTTCAGTTGCTCAGTATTTCCACCATCATCTTCAAAGCCTTTGCCATGGCAACGGTCAAGCTCTAGCTGTAATTTATGGTGGTGTCCAGTTTGAGAACCCTGGAGGTCAAGGGGGTATTGTTACCTTTAACTTGAAGAGAGCAGATGGAAATTTTATTGGTTATGCAGAAGTGAGGCTACTTATTTGTAAACTGTTGTTCCTAGTCATGTTGGTGTATAAGTATTTTAAAAATAATAACTTCAGAGTCATGTAGTTATCATATCACTGCTTCTAAAGAAGAGACTTTGTGCTAAATTCATTGGCAAAAAATGTTCGGGTTTGCTCAATACATTTTAAAACTTAGCAATAATATGATGATTGATTGTTTTTAGTTTTTTAATTTAGTTAGAAGTATGTGCCCCTATATTTAGTTAGTAGAAGTATGTGCCCCTATATTTAGTTAGTAGAAGTATGTGCCCCTATATTTAGTTAGTAGAAGTATGTGCCCCTATATTTAGTTAGTAGAAGTATGTGCCCCTATATTTAGTTAGTAGAAGTATGTGCCCCTATATTTAGTTAGTAGAAGTATGTGCCCCTATATTTAGTTAGTAGAAGTATGTGCCCCTATATTTAGTTAGTAGAAGTATGTGCCCCTATATTTAGTTAGTAGAAGTATGTGCCCCTATATTTAGTTAGTAGAAGTATGTGCCCCTATATTTAGTTAGTAGAAGTATGTGCCCCTATATTTAGTTAGTAGAAGTATGTGCCCCTATATTGTTCTTTGAAATGGAACTTTCTGATGCATTTAGAAATCTTCACGTGGGTAAATATTTTTTTATAATAAATGCTAATGGTGCATTATCATGGGATCAACTCTCTTGTTTTTACAGGTTGATAAATTTGCTCAGCTACACGAAGTCCATTTGAGAACCGGTTGTTTCTGTAACATAGGGGCCTGTCAGCAGTACCTGCAGCTGTCAGCTCAATTAATTAAGGAAAACTTAGCTGTAAGTCTGCTTTAACACATTCTATACTTTCTATATTTTCAATCCAGCTTCTTATCCAATGTATTTTTAGTCTTTCTTTCTAGAGAGTGTATTGCCTAGTAGGACGACTCTTTCTTGGTTGGTTCTTTCAACGCATAAACTTTCTGTGATTTCCATGATTTTTTACTGTTTTACCTAGCTAAATAGGGTAAATTAATGTATTACCTGGCTAAATAGGGTAAATTAATGTATAACCTGGCTAATCGTAATTTTACTGAGCATATCAACGCTATTTTTCTATGTCTTTTCAGGCTGGACACGTGTGTGGGGACAACATGGATTTAATCAACGGCAGACCAACAGGCGCAGTAAGGATCTCTTTTGGGTACATGTCCACCATCGGTGATGCCAGGGCGTGCCTACGCTTCATAGCAGACAGTTTTCTTGAGAATCCACCCGTTATTCCATCATTCCCTGACCCAGCTTGGTATAAACAACAGTCAGAGGTTCCCGTTAAAGTGACAGAAGAAGTAAAGAAAAGTTCACCCAAAGAATCAGCCCTAGGGCCCAGTAAGTGACCATGATTGGATGCCCATCAGGAAAATACAAACTATAATCCACAGGTGGTGCTTGACATCATGGTGCACAGGTGATGTGTGCAGTTATGGTGCGCAGGGTTAGTGTGAGGTCATGGTGCACAATAAATTTATGGCCTTGTGATAAAAGTATCACATTTTGACTAAGTAATATCAAATGGTGTTAACTCCAGTCATAGAAAATTCTTTTTGGATCTTAGGCAGCATGAACTCCTTTCTGATGGACCTCTCAAGTCCTGGACAAAGAAAATGCTGCATGAGTTTTTTTCACATTTGTAAAGCATAAAAACTCATAGGACTAGCTCAATGACTTGGAATTTGACAAAAACTAGCCACTTCCCCTTCTTTCTTAAATAGAAACACTATTTAACTATTACCGGCAGTCTTAATTTAGCTAGTGATCTGTTAGATCTTTTGTGTTGTATTGAGATAAACCACATCTGTGACGACGAAGAAGAAATAATTTTTTGATAGTATCCATGTGATATTAGAGATTGGGGACTTCTAGAAACATAACCCTGACCCCCTACCCCCACCCCCACAGCTGGTGCTAGAGGCCTTTTTTTTTTTCTTTCAATGACACAACTTTAAATATATTTTCCATGATTGCTATTTAAAAATTAAACAAAGTTTTCTTCTGTAAACTGCTGGATGATTGGCTGTTGTGTAAAAATTGTTCAACCAGGGGAGACAATTCCTGTATTTGAAACCAAGTGAGCATCTGTCTGCTCTTAAATTGCAAATAAAAATGTAGTGGTCCTTTTGTAAAATTCATTTTATACATTGCCAAAGACATGCAAACTGGGGATCATGAATTGAGTATATTGTTACTCGCCCTTTCCTCCACACTAACATTGTCCTTACTATTCATTATCACATTAAATTAAAATGCAAATGAGCCTCTGAACAAATTAGTACCACAACCTCTTCCCTTTGACTGCACTGCCCTGTAAATGTTATCTTTTGTCAGGTTTAGTCACCAATGGGCCAAAGCTTCTCAGAGGTGGAGAAGTCAGTGCCGAAAGTGTTTGTATACTATGTAGTGAAACCGAGAGAAGGGTCACGGATATATTCTTATACCCCATCAAATCATGTGGTGCCCTCAGGGTAAATATATTTTGTTTTAATTTTAATTTCATTAATATTTATTTTTTTTTCAGGGCAGGGGGAAACTTTTACCAAGTATAATAGAAACATTAAATTTGGGCAGCAAAAATATTCATGGTGCTTGTACTTTTTATGTAACAGATCATAATGAAATTGTTCATTAAAAATATTAAAGTGAGCGTTTAATTTAATTTCTGAGGGGAAAATATTTTTATTGTTTAATGATTTAATTTCATTATAATGAAATCATTATAATAAAATTACTTCCTAACTTTTATAAAGTCTGATCACTTTTTCTAAAAAACTTTATTTATGAATTTTTGTTTTTAAATGTCTTTGTTTTTTAAGAAAATTATCCTTCTCAACTATTTTTTTAAGAGATAATTGGAAAAGTAAAATATTACCTAAATAGCTTTAAAGTCTCTGGTCAACTGATGTGGTACAGCAAATCATTATACTTTGAATAGGTCAGCAAATGGGAGATGAGCAGCAAAGGTCTGTTATACGACCGGGAGTGGGTTCTTGTCAGTGATACTGGGGTGACCATCGGTCAGAAGAGAGAGCCCAAAATTTGCCTCCTGAGTCCATTTATTGATTTGACTAATAGGAAACTTATTTTGTCTTTCCAAGGTAAGTAGGAGACAAGCCAAAGGCCACAATACACATTTATTATATTTTTTAATTCCATTTTCCATGTCCTTAAACACAACTCATCATAGCTTAATCCCAGACTGCCTGCCCTCCTCTGTGTATCAAAAATGTTGCACCTTTCCTTGCCCAGTGTTTTTGGAATATTGCCTGGAATGACAAAATTAAAATTGGAAACTAATCATGACTCAAAACTGTGTTCTATAACAGCCATGTTTGTTTTTGTTGTTTTTTTATAAATTTTTTTATTTTTTTCGAAATATAAGATTGATATCATTCCCTCATTAAACATTAGTTTTTGGGGGGGTTTTCTCTTCTAAATCAGACATTCATTGCACAGGTTTCTTATGATTTTTTAACTTGAAAATTCATCTCCACAATGATTTGTTCTTGCATGCGTAGTTTTATCATTTCATCAATGCAATTAGTCATCTCTAAATGGATAATTATATTATTGATAAAAATGTTACGGAGTTGTGCTCCATTTTTTTTTTGCCCATGGGATTTCAATGTCTAATAATGGGTGTTAATGTAAAGATCTAATAATGGCTGTTAATGTTAAGGTCTAATAATAGGTGTTAATGTTAAGGTGTAATAATGGGTGTTGAGGTGTAATAATGGGTGTTAATGTTAAGGTGTAATAATGGGTGTTAATGTTAAGGTGTAATAATGGGTGTTAATGTTAAGGTGTAATAATGGCTGTTAATGTTAAGGTGTAATAATGGGTGTTCATGTTAAGGTGTAATAATGGGTGTTAATGTTAAGGTCTAATAATGGGTGTTAATGTTAAGGTCTAATAATGGGTGTTAATGTTAAGATCTAATAATGGGTGTTAATGCAGTGATTTATTCCTTTCCCGTTTCTTAAAGGTGCTGAGCCATTTGAACTCCCCCTCGACCAAGAGCAAGACTTTGAGGCCTTGGCAAGTCTCTGCACCAACAAAGTTTGTGGGGATAGGTAGGCGACATGTCTTTCAAATTATTCAAATGATATATTTATAGATGCAAGTGCATGTTTTCTGAACATTTTCATTTTTAATGGCCGTACGGTAATAGCAATTGTGTTTGTTTTGTCCTGGAAAACATCAACAAAAGAAGCCTTTTAAATTATAATAGATTAAAACACAAGGTTCTTTGGGGCTTTTGTCAATGTATAAGGTTAATTGAATTTTTCTTTTAAAAAATATTAAAACCAAATTTTGCGAAATTTATGAACAAATAAATTTCTACTTCCTATGGCAATGAATGATGAAAATTGGCAAAATTGGTAACTATTTTCCCATGATGACCTAATTTAAAAGGTCCGCCTACCTTGTTTAATGTTGCTGTTTGCTCCATCTAACCCCGGATTACCCACTGCACAGTTTCTGTTCTCTGAGACTGTTTTATTTTTGTTACTCAGGGTGAACACATTTGACTGTGGAGATGGCGTGTCCGACTGGCTGAGTGAGATTTTTGGGACTTCAGGCATTCGGCTTCTGCGGCAGCAGAGTGATGATACACGAAAGAGTAAACTGGCAGACAAAGAAAAAGTGATGCTGGGTGAGTTTAGTGTGGTACTACTAGGTTAAGAAAATGTGGTGCTGGGTGAGTTTAGTGTGGTACTACTAGGTTAAGAAAATGTGGTGCTGGGTGAGTTTAGTGTGGTACTACTAGGTTAAGAAAATGTGGTGCTGGGTGAGTTTAGTGTGGTACTACTAGGTTAAGAAAATGTGGTGCTGGGTGAGTTTAGTGTGGTACTACTAGGTTAAGAAAATGTGGTGCTGGGTGAGTTTAGTGTGGTACTACTAGGTTAAGAAAATGTGGTGCTGGGTGAGTTTAGTGTGGTACTACTAGGTTAAGAAAATGTGGTGCTGGGTGAGTTTAGTGTGGTACTACTAGGTTAAGAAAATGTGGTGCTGGGTGAGTTTAGTGTGGTACTACTAGGTTAAGAAAATGTGCTGGGTGAAGACACTGTGGTTCTGGGTAAAGAAAATGTGATATTTGAAGAAAATGTGCTAAGTAAATATGTGGTGCTAGATAAAGAAAGTGTGGTGCTATGTAAAGAAAATGTGATAGATGAATTTAGCAGAATGAAAAGTTGAGGATCATGTGTCGACCAACAAAGTATGCTGGATAACTCTATTTTGTCAATTTACATCGTGGCTTGAATTTTTAAAAATTGTTTTTCTCAGGATAATTAAGCTAACAGTTAGAAAAAACTGGTAGAAAATCACAAATGCACATAATTTAAATATTTTCAGAAAAGTTTCCATTTTGCAAGCTTCATGCTTAAATATTGGGAAAAGTGGGTGATAAGAAGGGCTAATCGTGACTAAAAGTTTGAGCTAAGTTGTTCTTATGGTTCGCACACAACTTATGATAGAGTTGCTTGGATTAAAAAACATAAAAGCTTCAATTTTCTTTGGAGCTATTTTATAGTGATACATTTAAAGATGGAACACATCCTTAACAACAAGATTGCCAGTCAACTGGTTTTCATGCTGCTGTAGTTCTCCTTGCTGGGAGTTAGTTTGAATTTTTATTTTCACTTGCTTGGGACTTCTTGATCTTGACAATGCAACATTAATCTGGCCATGGTAGTAAAATGCAGTTTGTGTATCAATTCTGACATGATCAAATGTCTCTCCTTGAAAGAAAATTATAGTTTTTTATTATAGATTGATTCGGACATGATCAAATGTCTCTCCTTGAAAGAAAATTATAGTTTTTTTATTATAGATTGATTCGGACATGATCAAATGTCTCTCCTTGAAAGAAAATTATAGTTTTTTATTATAGATTGATTCGGACATGATCAAATGTCTGCCCCTGAGATTTGTTGATTGTCGTGTACAAGCCCGAATGATGGGGAATCTACGACTTGGTAAAATGAAGGTCAGAGTAGTGTCACTTGGTGCTAAATCAGTTTTTGGGATGAAAACTGTGTCACCGCGATTGCATTCTGAGATGATTTCTACCATGATGAAGTTTCCCTGAAAGTTCCTTACGACTGAGTCGATCAAGAATTTTTGGGTAGCACTGTTCATTCACTGAATGTTCCTGACTAATGTCTGTGGCTTGAATGCTGTCCAGTATGTCAAGTTGAGCATATTGTGAGGCCTGTTGTGTTGCTGGCTAATGTTGCAATGTCCTGTGGTACATCTGGCCAGCACTGCTCCATTTTTAACCTTGCACCAACAGTTGGTGAATTTTTTTTTTGGTCAGACATGCACTCAGTCATTGGACCGCAGCAGTGTGCAACAGCCCAGTTCTCTTCAAAGTCAATTGCCTTTTGTCAGATCTGGAGGCTTTGATGCTCTTGGGTTTATTTCTGAGATTCGGCACATGCAAGTTGTCATTCTGGCAAATACTCAGCAGTTTCCATGATACGGCTCTGATAATGAGCTTCTTGTTGTGCATTGTTCAGCTGTTGCATCTGTTGATATCATCCCCTCATTAAACATTAGTTTGGCATTTGCTGCTTTTCAAGCTTGAGACTGTTCTGTGATCTCTGAATGACAATTTTAGTTTTAGCATTTTGCATCAGCTTCTTCAGTTTGAATTACCATCAAGAGTTAATTAACCTTGACACGCTTTCCACCTTTACTTCCTTTCTCTGGCGATCCGATGCTTTCACGCTTCCCAGATCTTTGTTTTCGTCCATGGTTTTCAATTTAAAATTTTGTTTGCAGCAGTGATGCAATATTCATTTTGATTTAATTTCAATGAACTTTGATGTGTGCTAAACATTGATGGAAATGATGTTCAACTTGATTGCCTTACACTGGAAATCAAATTTTCTGTTAGTGTGTGACAACTCAACAAAATTTTAGAGTAAGGAGAGACAAACAATTTGTGTCAATAAACCTATGGATGTTACGCATTAATTATGGTTAGACAACATAAAAATTCAAAATGTAACCTATGGATGTTACGCATTAATTATGGTTAGACAACATAAAAATTCAAAATGTAAATGCCTTTATCAGCACAACAAAAAACATTTAATTTATGTTTAAAAAAAATTTTTAAAGAGACATTTTTAAAAATGTTTTACAATTCAGATCCTTCAAAACCCCTGCTGTCTATGGCCAATGAGTCCCAGCTGCTCCTACTCTGCCGAATCAGTGTACGAGAGCTGCAGAAGAAAATGGTGGAAATTGCAGATGTTGATGATGCAGATGATACAAGAATACCAACATCACCAGCAGATATCAGTAAGTGTGTCATCTTGAGTGGATGGGGGTGGGGCCAATGTTCATTGAGTGAAGTTCTATGACTGTTGGTGGCATTTGATTGGGTATTGTAACATTGTGTACCTGATGGACAGGTGGTAAACAGTGGGGAATGGGGTTTGATGTTAATTGGGTGAATTGGATGACTGTTGGTGGCATTGGGTAACATTGTGTATCTGATGTAAAGCTGGTAAACTGGGTGGTTGAGAGGGGGGGGGGGGCACACAAAGTTCTTCTCTTGTGCTCCCAGCATGGTAAGGAAGATCTATATGTTTCTGATGTCACATGAGTATAAGCATATTATATGTTTACATTGGTTTTTTTAAAATGTCCAGCTAGCAAATTATAAAAGCATGTTATAAATGTTGCATCAAGAAATCTTTTCTCATTTCTTGATGTAATGTTTATATGTTATGATAAATGTTTCTAATGATTTTATTTTCAGGGTGTGGGAGGCACAAAATAAATACATAAATTATAGACCATTTATTTTGATGTTATCACAAGAACTTATGTCAGCAGTTTTGAAAGAAAAACTTTTCTCTATAACTTAACAGCTGAAGATAACTTGGTCCTACGTTTCCGTGGCAACATTGTCATTGATGGGGGTAAACCCTTTGAAGAGGATGAGTGGAGCTCAATCCTTGTTGCAGACAACACTGTTGTTGTAAGTGGCAGACTTTTGTTGTGCAATGTCTTATTTCATTACTGTAGTTTAGCCTGCCATTCCTTTTCATGTTTGCTGGACAGCTGCTGGACAGCTGCTGGACAGCTGCTGGATCTACAAAAGTTGTTTTTTTTAACTGTTGGTCGAAGACACCTAAGTGGTTTATGAGAGCCATTTCCTTTGTAAATTTTTTGTATACATTTAAAAGTTAAAAACCCTTGACTTACAGGTGAGATTAGCAGGTGAGATTGTCTTCTATTTGAGCTTAATAATGTTTAACTTTCACTTCAGTGTCAAGGTCCTTGCTCCAGATGTCAGATGATCTGTATGGATCAGGAGACTGGACAGAAGAGTAGAGAGCCCCTTAGAACTTTGGGCGTCTGGCGCGGCAAGAAGGTACTGGAGAATTTGTATGCATTTTTACATTGACATAGCATACCCTCCTGATTTGTTTACATTGACATAGCATGCCCTCCTGATTGAGTTTACATTGACATAGCATACCCTCCTGATTTTGTTATGAAATTGATCACATCTACTAGTCTGGGTTTCTGCCACACCAATATTTCATGGGTAGTAGTGTCATGATTAGGTGTTCATATTAATCAATCCATCCCCTATAAGTTTTGAGTTATAGTTAAAGATTTTTTTTAGGTATTTTTCTAAAAATCTCTTAAAAATAATAATTTTAATTTTATTTTTCCTTTCGTCATTAAAATAATAATTCATGAAAGCTTTTAAATATAGTCTAATTTATTTTTTATTTCTTTATCTAGGTCAATTTTCTTCAAATTTTTAAACTGTTTTTTCTTTGTGTGTGCTTTTTTCAGGTTCCCTTTGGTGTTCATGCTCGCATGCTTCCACCTACCGATGGCTCAAGGCAATTTATTTGTGTGGGTGACTTTGTACAACTCAAGTAAAGCCACACAGAAGCAGACCTGGGGCAGCTGTAGTTATTAGTAGCCAGAGAACGGTCAATAATCCAGACCATTTTAGACAAACTTTATTTATGCCCAGTGTAACTAAGGTACTGGGTACTTTGAATACAATTTTAATTTCATTGCCGTGTCTCACCTGTAAACCAAGGAGAATACCTGGATTGAAAATTGTCTCCCTTGTTAAATTTTTTTTTTTTTTTCAATATCACATTTTAAACCTTAAAATGTTTAGTGCGGACGTAAATAGTGCTGAATATTGCTTGAAGCTTTAACTTTTAATTCCAATTCAAATATATTTGTATCAACTTGGTCATTTAAATAGGATGACTTGAATACTAAAATATATAATTGGCAAATAAGGGGGGAAAAGCTTGCATCCAGTCATTCTATCTCTCCAGCAAAATCTAAAATCAGAGGTTCTTGCCTTAATTACATTTTTGAAAACAGTATCTGAAACAATCTATGTATAAATACAGTGTATTGTTGAATATTTCTTTGTTCAAATTATGTGATCTACTTTGTTGTTAAAAAAATATACATTTACTTTATTTTTTATAATGCTTAAATTACAATCAAATTTCATGCTTTATTAAATAACTAACTCTCATGAGTTTATAAAATATACATCAGATCTGCTTGAGTGATCAAATTAAAGTTTTCAAAAAGAAATTTTGCCATGACCCTTACATTCTCTGCATAATTGATATGTGATGCAGAATCTTAGTTCACTAGAGTCTTGAATTCATTTTTTCAGTTTGACAATATCATGGACATGTTTCATTTCTGAGACCATTGGCAAACAGAAAGTTAGGTGGTATGTCCCGGAGTTAATACACATTGTTTTTCTCTTCTGCTAAGAGATGTTTCAAGTACTGTACTCAGTTCTGTCTTTCTAAACTGTGGATTAGATTGACTTATGTACTTAGCCCTTTGAATTTCCCGATTTGGTTCAAATCAACTTCATTAGCCAGATTCAGATTTACTGATACCTTCACTCTAGCTTTAACTCTAACCCACCCTAATATCAGTCAACCACAAGATGACAAAATCTGAACCATTTAAAGGAGTCATATGAATGCTTCATCAAAACATTATCAATGGTGACATCATTAATGTGTTAGAATCTGGTACTATGTGTTTACCCTCTGAAAAATCTGTGTGTGCAAACATATTGAATTACTAAATCACCAATAGAAAAGTTTGTTTTTTCCCCACCAACCAAAACACCCTCACACAGTTACTAAAGATTTTATGCTGAGGTGACAGGTTGAAAAGCATGTCACAGTTTTTTAAAATATTTTTCTAGCCATCATCAGTGGCACAACAGGCCATAATCTTTTTATAAAATGAAAACAAATATGTTGTTATTTTTTTACATAGGAAGGGTTACATTATGAAATAGCATTGCTTATGAAATGGTAGGCTTACATATGAAATGGTATACTTACATATGAAATGGTATACTTACATATGAAATGGTAGGCTTATGTATGAAGTGGCAGTTTTAATTAAACGGATTATAAATTAATGATTAACCTGGCTGTTTCTTTAAATATTTTTTGTTTATTCTATATAAGGAAATTGTGTGTTTTGTTTGTAGATTTACAATTTCAATATTGTGAGCATGTCCTATTGAGTCTTGTACTGCTTATGCCAGTTTAACTTTTGTATGAAATATACCTTACCATCATATAACAAAGTACGAATGTATGGCTGTAACTGTAATGCTCTGTTCAAAAGGGGTGCAAAAGAAATTCCCAGAAGTTAGCACTATTTGGGATTCTTTTAAAGTGCGTTAACTTGAATGCATGTTTTGTCAAGTAACTTTAGTTGATGGGAAGTTCAGGCATTGCCGCCACCATGGTTTGTCTGGTTATTTATAGTACATAAATATTTATAAATATTTTTCTCTCAAACTGAAATCCAAAACAAGTTTAAAAAAAAAAAAAAATGTCTTAATATTCTTAAACTGAACATGTTGAAAATATTTATAAAAATTTTTCTCTCAAACTGAAAACCAAAAAAAGTTTAAAAAAAAAAAAAAAAAATGTCTTAATATTCTTAAACTGAACATGTTGAAACTGAACAATGAATGATAAACATGTGTTGATGGTTGTTGGTATGATCAAACTTTTTTTGACCAACATTTTCAGATCTCTTTTACTTATACAACACTGTGATTCATGTACAACTTTAAGATGAGAATTAAAACTTTTACCTCTATATTTCATCAAGGTTGTTGTTTTACTGTCATTGATGTAGTTGATGCTGTTTCGTTGTTTTTTTTCTTGGATTTGCCTGATGATACTTGTCCTGGAAGAGCAGATCTTACTCTGGGACTTTCCTTTTAGAAGCTAAACGTAAAATATTTTGATCAGTTCTTCTTGCAACACTTAATACTTTGAAACACAGGGTTAAGGTAAGTGGAAAGTGGGAAAAAATGGAGCTTGTATTTTCCGATTCCACCTCACCATCGACTGGATAATGGAAGTATCCACGGATAGAAATGGAAACAGGATTACAATGTAAACTCTGGGAACAACCAAATGACCTCGATTTTACAGATGACGTTGAACTTCTGACCCACAACCAACAACAAATCCAGAGGGGTGGGGGGGGGGACAATAAATGAAGCCACCATTTCATCACAGCTTGGACTCAACAAAAATAGAAACAAAGACAGAAAGATCATGAAGATAAAACAAACCCAAAAACATACAGGCCTTATCCTTGGCAGGAAATGCACTGTAAGAAGTGGATGCCTTCAACGTCTTGGGCACCACCACTGACATGAATGGTGGATCAGAAGCTGGTGTATGAGTTAGAATTGGAACAGCTAGGTCAGTATTTGTGGCTTTTTGTTAAAGAAAATATTTCCTGAACAAAAATCTATATACACTGTTCGCGTAAAATTAATTTGACATTATTGAAGATTATGATTCTGTTGATAGACTTCGGTGATGTAACTTTTTACAACCAACATGGCCGAATGGTGCAAAGGATAATAAATGAAGGACTGCGTTCAAGCTGTGTGGAGGAAATGGTGGAACAAGGGCGTGGACGGTTGAAATATAACACATTTGAATATCTCAGATGCTGATGGCCTTAAATTATGTGCTTAAATACTCTCTATTTTACACGTGCTGCCATGCAAGAAATGACCCCTGAACCTTCATACTTTTGTACAGTCAAGTCAATGCCTAGATGGCAGTGGATGGTGGTCCAGATTTAGTCATCTCTTTTCGAGTTTTGCAAGAATTCGAGTCAGCCTTGAAACTGGAGAACGAATGTGTTGTTTTTTTTCTACATTGATTGAACCATATTTAAGAGCATATTTGACTCAGGAAAGGCGCTCATCTTTGGTTATGGTGTCCATTGAAAATGATGTTAACAGTCGACTAGATTATGGAGACGTCATCTGTGCTTTTTCTTCCGCAACAGCCAGACACAAATTCTTATATAATATTAAACTAGTTAAGGTGCCAATTATTTTTTTTTTAAATTTAATTCAACATTTTTTAAATGACTGAATGCTGAAAGTCGGAATTTTTAACTTGTTAGAGTTTCACCATTTCAATATAAAGCTTATTTAATTTAGGACAGATTAGTTTTTAATTTTGCATTAGGCTCGTTTCTCCACTCTTCTACAACAGCACCTTTTTAAAAAAAATAATTAAGCGACGTTATCAACCTAAACTATCGTAGGAGAAAGGGTGCCAAAATGTTCAACTGCCTGGAGCACCAAAATTCTTTCAGGGTGGGGGGGGGCAATAAAATCTAACGCTGTTTAGGCCTACTACTGGAGGCGCCACAGTACAGAGCTTCAGTGGTGTAGCTTGGGTTGGTGTCACCCAGTACGGTAAACTCATGGGGTCACCCCCCCCCACCCCACCCAGACTCCCACAATGGATTTCTTGTTGTTAAAATAGGTCCACAGTAAAACAATTTTTTTTTTTTCCGGTCTGATTCCTGTACTTAGAATCGTCAGACCCCATCGCATGAAAAGCTTTATTTCTCAGAATTTAGATAAGTTAGATAAGTATAGCTTTCTTCCACTTACGAAAGTTACCGAACACTTCAATCGGCCTTAAATCATGGTCAAAACGATGTTTTTCTGACCTAATTATAGGGTCACCTCATTTCTGACGTATCAACCTTGAACTTTGAATAAATCACCCATGTGGGGAAAATTTACGTGTCATCGGTTATCTTTTTATGAAATTCGGTTCGATTGATCAGTGTGTGCTTTGTAGATATGCAATTTTTTTTTTTTTAAATTTGGCCCCCCACCCCCGAGATGGTGTCACCCGGTGTGGTCTGCACCCCCTAGCTACGCCCCTGCATAGCTTAGCCTACTACTGGATGCGTCATAGTACATAGCAATTTAAATAAGAATCGCCAAATTATGATTTGTTTTCTATTTTTTAATTGTAAATGAGACAGGTTTTTTTTTTTTTAAATTGTCTGCTGTCCTAGATACTGGTACCTAGTATATATTTCTCATCTAAATATAAATGCCACTCTCCCCAAATGACGTCACTGCTAAAAGCTGCATATGTTATGCCTAGTTTAATACAACCAGTTTATTGTTCACCCTTTTAATTTAATTTTCCCTTTTCTTTTATTTTAACATGTTAAGTCGCAGAGAACTGTGCATTTCAAAGAGGCTAAATTTAAAGACAGTTGTTGTTTTGCTTGGACAGCTACGCTCCTACACGGGGTAATTTAAGACAAAATTTAATGGGATGACTATTTAAAAAGTAAACATTTTTTTTAACATCTACGCTGTCTTTTTTGGTAAGCAATGTTCATTTAATTTCTCTCCTTTTTTGTGTGTGCCAAATATGTGTTTTTAAATGAACGGTGAAATTTTTTAAAGTATTTAAAACTGTGACCAACTAACAATTCCTTTTAAACAAAATATTAAGATTAGGGGTCGTTCGCAAATTACGTCAAGCAAAAAATGACATTTTTAGACCCCCCCCCCTCTGTCATAAATTCTTTAACCCCCCCCCCTGCCCCAGTGTCACGTCACCCCTAAAAAATTAAAACACACATAAAATTTTCATAACTAAACTAAGATTTTATTTTTAAAAAATGCCTTTTTAAGCCCCCCCCCCTCTGTCATAAATTCTTTAACCCCCCCCCCTGCCCCAGTGTCACGTCACCCCTAAAAAATTAAAACACACATAAAATTTTCATAACTAAACTAAGATTTTATTTTATTCTTTAACATTTTCCCATAATGGATTAAGATGTAGTATTATTAGAAAACTGTGACGTGGAACAATGAAGTCATCCACAAGACGAATGGAAATGGGCACAACAGTTTTTGCGTAATTTTTCGATATGCGCTGAAGTTTTGCACCACTAACTTTCATGGTAGCCTACCTATAATACATGAGTGTCATGAGGCTATTGCGACCTCAAATTAATTTTTTAAAATTAATTGAATTTTACAAAATTAGAAAAAATTAGATTTTTAAAAATTAATGAAAAAAAATATTTTAATACGTGACACAAGAAATGTTTACCCCCCCCCCCAGGTCACACATTCTCGACCCCCCCTCTCCCTCTGAGCGTGATGTAATTTGCAAAGGACCACTTACTTTGTCCCAAATTTACATGTCACTGTTTGGTTTATACATAACTTTTAATATAGTCAGTAGAGTTACAGACAGTGATTATTTCAGAAATGTCCCCCTGGAGGGGGGGGCACTTCAGATTTTTCGGGGGGGGGGGAGTGCCATTTGAGTTATTGTTGGACATATTTTTGCTCCTGGGGAGCACTTGGCGTTCCCGGGGGGGGGGGAGGGGGGGCTGAAAGAAACCCTGATTACAGACAGGAGAGCCAATTTCAAAAGATGGGGTGAGAAGTGGATAGAACAAACTACAATCTAAGCTTGAAGTACCTGTACAGGATTGATTACAAAAATCTTCTTGAAAAAATAAACACTTTCCTTTTCAAAGAGCGAGTAAATTCAGTAAATTAAATTGTTGCTTCTACTTCTATTCCTTGTTCCTCTTTGTCTTGGCCGTTCCGGTGCCAGGTAACATGACGTCTGCTCCGGTTCATTAGGTTCTCCGATTACCTCCCTTGAAAGATTTATTTATATTTTTTAGACATGTGATCACAAAGTTTACATTTCCCCGTTTCACAATCCGCTATCGATCATGTTTATAACCAAGTACTAAGAGATCTTGTGACCATTATTAGTATTACTATTATTAATTAAGGTCCTGTTGTGACTATCATAAAACTAAATGTTTGTTTCAAGACCAAAAATATTTCACGGGAAGGATTTTAGATCCACATTTGTTATGTCGGATGCGGTAATGATTTATCTCATTTATTTATTCTTTTCAATTTAAATCTATACCTAGCAGCCTAGCATTACTGATTATAATAAAGTTTATTAGACAATTAGTTGAATTAATATTTAGTATTTTGATTAAGCTAGCGTGTGTGAACTACGACTACGTCCTATGTCATACTTGCTATTACTAATTACCGTCCGTTATTAGTTATGGTTATTAATAATTAATCTGTCAAGTCAAGCCTAGCCCTCATTTATCAATTAATAAGTTTATAAGACTAAGTTAAGTAGGCCTACTAAGTTAATCATTACTAAGAACTTAAGAAGACTCAAGACTAACTAATTCAGAGTTTTCTTACTTACTAAGAGTAAGAGTACTAAGACTAAACTAATTATTAATTATATTTTTTTTTTTTAAATCATCAAAGTCAAAGAGCCTAGATCTATGCCTATGCAGTAACCTGTTAGTAACAGTAAGTTAGGTAAAGTGCAGTTCAGGTGCTAATATTAATTATAATTAATATAATTAAAATGGATAATTATAATATAATGGCAGCACCATAGCCATAATCATAATGGCATTGGCATTAGTATTAGCCTAAATTTAATGGGCCTGCAACCATTAGGCATTAGGATTAATATTATTATTTAATAATTGTGACCAAATTTATTTCTTATTCATAATTAATTCATTATCATTATGTCATATGATTCATTTCATGATTTAACTTTAACATGTCAACTACCTATTAGTATTACTATTAAACTACGCCTAAGTTTACCAGCTGTGCCATAATTTTTAAGTCATTATTGTTATTATTTTATTGGTTTTCCTCATAATTTTTAAATTATAATTGTCTATACTATAACTAAAAGTATAAGTATAACTTTAAAATTAACTACTAATATAATAGTTAATAGTACTTATACTATGACTATTAGTTATAGCAATAGTATTTGGTTACAGTGTATAGGCTTAATAGTCTACTATAATTTATAATAGTTTATTTAAGTTTAAGACATGTCAGTCAGCCTCCCTTGCAACTTGAGCCTCAAGACTTAACTCTTAATTATAATTAAGTCTAAGAAGTTCAGCTATGATATATTATAGTAAATTATAGCTCATGGTGTGGGTGACATGTATCCTTTTTAGGCCTCTGGGTTAGCTAAATTTTAAAAGTTACTATTTCTAGTATAACTATTATTATGGTATATGACATTTGTTCATGAATTGCCTTATTAATTTAATGTACACCCAAGGTTTTTAAATAATCCATAAATAAATCTGATTAACATGCTTACTGGTTCTATATCTTATTGATAATATTTGATTCATTAAAGCTGATAGAAATATTTGCAACATAATATAAATATGTTAAAGACTCTTACTTTTAAAACTCAAATCAGTTAATTCAATTATGTTTCTCTCAGCGTGTAAGAGGGGATGGTAATCTTGTGGCCAGCAACATTCACACTATAACTGCACATGAAGCTGAAGTTACAGCTGTAGCTTTCTCAAAGAATGCTTTGGCCACCTGTTCCTCAGACAAAACAGTGCGTTTGTGGGGAATCAAAGATTATACAGAGCTGCCCTCCTCTCCACTGTTGGGACATAAATACTATGTAAGTAGGCTGTTATTCATAGATTATTCTATTCATCTTGCAAATTATTAATATCGAATTTCTCTCAAACTAAAAGAATATGCCAAATGTTGATATTTGGATAAATAATTTTAAGCTGTTACAAAAGATTTTACATGGTGCCAGGTTATATTTTTTTCTAAATTTCAATATAATACCAATGATGAATACATTTTTATGTGTTGGATATATAAATATTATTTTAGATCCATTGCTGTGCCTTTTCTCCATCGGGATCTACCTTAGCAACATGCTCCAACGATGGGACTTTAAAATTTTGGGATGTGAAATCTGGTGATTGTCTTGCAAGTCTGTCCCATCCAAGCAAGTGTGCCATCAGGGTTTTACAGTTTTCTGCTGATGGGTCAAAGGTCGTCACCGGAGGAGATGATGAAGTTGCCTGTTTATGGAATGTTGCAGAGAAAAAAATTATCCGGTTAGTGTGAAATTGACTTTCACTTAAGCAAAACATAAATGAAATGTTAGGATTGGATTTTTGTGTCAATTGAGAGAGTGAAAAAAAAGATAAAATGCATTGCTTTATGGAGCTAAAGGAAAATATTTGAGGGACTGCGTTCAAGCTGTGTGAAGAAAATTATGGAAAAAAGATTTGTTTAGGCTTGAAATGAAATGGCAGGGCAGTTAAATTTTATAATGTAGTGTAAGAGATCTTTTTGAAATTATGTGTCACTCTCAGGTTTAAAACAAATTGTTAGTTTTGAAAACCTAGTGAAAAATTATTTATAGATCATCCATTTGTGTACTTATATTGGAAGATGTTGTTATTTCTCTGGGCACTGCACACCACAGTTCTATAAATTATTTAGATTGTTAAAAAAAGGCTGCAAATAAGGCCATAGTTTAGCCACCAATCAATGATCCCAGAGCTCTTTATCAATAATTGCAGGATATTGATTGATGGAAGTGCCCGGGGTTTTAACTGCTCTGGTGCATGCTGAATATCATTTAGATAGGTCATATGCTGCAACATGTGTTGTAGAGTGCTTTTATACCACTCCCCTGAATACTTGGAATGAAAAAAAAAAGTTCATTCATTCCACCATGATAATGAAGCGTAATTATATCACTGGATTTAATATATATTTTTTTTAAATATGTTTTTTTCCTTTTCAATTTGAGAAAGACAGCATAAAATTCTAGTGAGAAATTATCATAGATAAAATGATTTTGCTGAAAGCAGTGTTACTTGATAAACTGTGTAAACAAAAACAATGTATAAAATATTTAAAAGAACTTGCAGATTTTTGTTACCAGCAATACCAAGATGTCATGTATCCATTGTAATTGTACAAATGAAGTAAAATAAAATCAAAGGCCTGTTACTTTCTTGAAATTAAAATAGCATTCACAAGGTAAAAACATTATGGAGTTTTAGAACAGTTGACAATGATTATTGCAATTATCTATTGGCAATTTTATCATCATCAGCACTGTTCAAATTTCTTCTTTTTTTTTTTTACTATTTTACGATTTACTTTATTCAGAGAATTATTAAAGATTAAATTTGACATTTTAAACACATCATTAGCCTTTAAAAAAAAAAAAAATTTTTTTTTTTTTTAAAAGCATTTAAAATTAAATAAAAATTTTTTTCTTTTTGTTGTTAAAAAAATTTTTAAAATTAAAAATTAAATTTGAAATTTTAAACAAATAATTAACCTTTAAAAAAAAAAAAAATTTTTTTTTTTTTTAAAGGCATTGAAAATTAAATAAAAATGTTTTCTCTTTTGTTGTTGAAAAGATTTTTAAAAATTAAATAGCTCAATACATCCAAGGTAAATATAAATAATTTGAAAAAAATATGTTCATTTATTTTACATAAAATTTAACAGATCAACTGGGCTCCCAATCAAGAATGTTTAATTTTTGTTCTATTGTCCAATATTTTCCATGTTACAGATCTTTAAAGGGACATGATGAAAGTGTCACTTCAGCAGCGTTCTCCCCTGATGACAATTATATAGTGACATGCAGCTCTGGTGGGGACATGGGTGGTGACATGTTGGTCTGGGATGCTCAGTTTGGTCATGGGAAGTTCTTGACAAGAGTTCATGACTGTCACGACCTGGGCGTGTCGTGTTGTGCATTTTCTCCTACATACGGGACAGCGGGTAAAATATCTTTATGTGTTGTCATATTCAAGAATTAGAGCCATTCCTTTTTTTTTTAATCTGCATTTTTTAAAATAGATCCATTTGGGTAGTTAAAATGTTTAGCAGCTTAGTAAGAACTTCTTAACAATTGCATGCACTGTCAATATTTTATTAGTAAAATTTTCACCAGTCTTTTAGCTCTGTTGTTTTAGAAATATTTCATTTTTGAAGATTTGGTTTATTTATTTAATTATAATATATATCATAAGAATGAAGGCTCAATAATAATTGTGATTTCTTCTGAGATGAAACCATCATGTCTGTTACTTATTTGAAGCGGATAAACTTTTCCCTTACAGGAAAACCTTCCACGTCCAGCTCGATTAACACATTTTTACTGGCCACTGGTGGGAAAGATAATCTTGTCAAGTTATGGATTTTCTGTGGTGATGTTGGATCTGTTAGTAAGTATAAGGTTTTTTTGTAGAGATAAATACTAGTTACCAATAGGGTCTGGTAATTACATGTAGGCACTAGGATTTGTTAGTGTCAGATTTCTGGTAGCGGTAGAGATAATTACATGCAGCCTGTGGATCAATAAGTAAGATAATAGTTTAATAGTTAATTTACATGTGTTCTGGCAATGACTCAAGGCCAGTGGTTCTCATCCTATTTGACTTGCTGAGCCCGTTCTGGAATCAATTTCTGTAAGGAAGCGCCTTATGCCTACCCTATGTCACACATGCAAATGGTGTTTTATTTCCTGGAGTGGCAGCGGATGCACAGGCTGGTAACCACTGCTCTAGGCCAAAGCCTAGCAAGAAGCCTAGCAAGCAATGGCTTGGGTGACATAGATATTTTTTCCTGCTTCATTTAAAAGCTTAATTTTTTTTTTGACTGCCTCCTCCGCCTGATATACCCTCCGCTAAAATTGAACTGGTAGGCATGACACAAAAACACACAAATTGTTTTCTTTCTCTTTTATCTTCCCATCAAGACGTTACAGTGAAGCTAGAAACAATGCTACCAGGTCACAAAGACTCCATTCTATGGCTGTGTTTCTCACCTGATGGTCAATTCATTGCCTCCTGGTGAGTTATCATTTGTTGATATAGTTTTTAACATCTGAGTGAATATTATAGAATTCCGGTTAGGTACAGATTTCTTTTACATCATCATCATCTGGTGATCAGGCTTAGAAACTTCTTGTTCTAATGTAAACCTCATTATACATTTTTTGATTGCCTAAGTAATGTTTCAAGTTAATATATAGCACTATGGCATTTCCAGAAGAAAAAAACTTTCCATGCACAATAGAAAAGTTTATTTAAAAAAAAATAATAATTTTTGGGGGGTGTGTGGGTAGATGCACACGGGTATTTTATAATAAGTAGATTTCTTCTTGTCTTTTATAAATATTCCAATTTTTTGGAAATCCTGGCGACCCCAATAGTCCAGATGCATGTCGTAACTGTAGAAATAATTGTTAGATAATTTTTAGGTTGTTTAAATATATTTTATTATGATGTCCACATCTGAAAATGCTTTCAAAGAAGGATAATTCATGAACCAAATATTTTTGTTCTCAAAAGTTAACTTTTATTTAAAATTTAAACAAAATAAAACTTTGTGTTGAGATGATGTGAAATTTTCTGTACTATTTCAGTTCATTGGACAAAACAGCACGCTTATGGAATGCAGTAAGTTTAGTTTCATTAAAAACTCTTTTGATTAACAAATTTTGTATTGTAATTGTAAGAATTTTTATATTATAATTATAAAAATAACAATGGGGTTTTACAAACATTCGTGATGATTTGAAATTTTAGAATTATTTAACTTGGGTATTATAAAAATAATGGATTCAGATTTGCTATAATTGTTTTTATCATCATATACATTTTTGATGAAAGTATATAAGTAGAAGGTCAACTTTGTAATACTTATCAATGAACATTTTTTTTTGTTATTGTAAAAATCTCTTATCCCTCTTGACAGAGAACTAACCAGGCCATCATCAGTATTGATGATCATTCCAGGTATGTTACTCTGGATTTTTATTTTGCATTCAAAGATAGTTTGCTGGGATGATGTTTATATTTATATGGTATAATATATACTCATACAAAAAGCAAGGAAAAGAACATTTTTTTATATGACAGTGCAATTTACAGACAAAACCTTGATTTGTGGCATTAAGACTTATTGTCTGCTGCATTAAGGTTCATAAACTAGAAGCAGGACTTTGTCAAATTGTTAGGTATTTTTTTTTAGCTATGTAGCCTTCTGTGCATTTTCAAGTGATAGCCGCTACCTAGCAACCGCATCTAATGACAACACTGTCAAGATATGGCAGCTGAATGACACATCTGAGATCATGAGTAGGTATACATTTCATTCTGACACAATTGTATTACAACTGATTTCATTCTTTTTTTAAAAAAAACTAATTATCAAAATTAACTGATACTGTTATTTAGTGCTAAATTATTTTAACCATAAAAGTTAATAGGTAAGATATATTGCAGATTTACAAATTTGTCCAGATCAAAAATATGTCTTATTTTTCAGGCAATATCAATCTGTCATTAAGTTAAATTGTTTCCTGTTGGATCTTTTTGCCTTGGGATTTAAAGGCTGGATTTTTAAAGACTATTTTAAGTAATACATTTTTAATGTTCACTCTAATAGAAATTAAAAATTTTTTTCCTCAGAAAATCTAAGTGGATATGAAGAAGGGGATCCAACCTCTAGTCAGTTATTAAACAGCTACTCACGTGTTGCCATGGAGCTATGGACCCTGGATGATGTTTGCGAGTGGTTGAACTCCTTAGGGCTCGGGGAATATGATGAGGCATTTCGTAAAAATGCCATTGATGGTAAAGAATTACTTGCCCTGTCAGTCAATGACTTAGAAGATACCCTTGGTGTTGGTGAGTGGCTTTCAGAGGTTGATACAGTTCTTAGCATTTTTAGTGCAAACTGAAAAATTAAACATGAAGCTAACATAGAACTTAACTAATGAGTCAATCTTTTCAATTATTAATTTCATGTTTAAAAAAAACCTAATAAAAACCATCAACACCTGTATTTAGCTTTAAATGTGTTCTTTTAATCAACTTCATCTTCTTTATTAAAATTATTTCACATTTTTTATTTCTACACAATATGCTGTAGATGGAAGAAAAAATATTTAAATACATACATGAGATGACATGTACGGTATTGAATTATTTATTTCTTAAATTGCATAATATTTGCTGTTTCAAAGTTCATGCATTTTATATTTTCCTTCAACAATCTGTTGTCTGGATTTATGCTTGTGCCTTTGCTTAATCCGACATTATGATTGATAGGCTAAGCTCAATATTTTGACATCTCTATTTGATAATACTTCCATCTTGTCATCTGCAGCTGCTTTGGGGCATAGAAATAAAATTCTTCGTGGGAGATCACTGGCCCAAGACAAAGATGTGAAGATGATAAGGAGCACAGAGCCCACTAACACACCAGAGGAGTTCCTGTGTCCGATCACCCATGAAATTATGAGAGATCCTGTCATTGCTTCAGGTATCTTGGTCCAAACAGACCTTGATCACTTTAATATGGAGATCATGGTCTCCCCTTGATATGTGCCACTTATACAATTACCATTTCATTTTGATTTGCCCTTGGACAGACAATCTATGTATTCAGTGTGCTTCACCATGAGAGCAACACAACTAAACCCATAGGCCACTCCTGCTTGATTTTTACAATAAGGAAACCTTTGCTCTTCCTGGTGGTTTTACCTTTAAATGTGAAAATTTTTGATAGGCTGTCATTTGACATGTACTTGACCTTTTTGCTGGATATCTGCTCCTTCCCCCCCCCCCCCCCCTCCCCCCCCCCCCCCCCCCCCCCCCCCCCCCCCCCCCCTATAAGGAAACCTTTGCTCTTCCTGGTTGTTTTACCTTTAAATGTGAAAATTTTTGATAGGCTGTCATTTGACATGTACCTGACCTTTTTGCTGGATATCTGCTCCCGCCCCCCCCCCCCTCCCCCTCCTTCCCAACCCAATATTGCCATGGCCAGTTGGTTTGCACCTGTTTATTAGGTTTTATCAGATCAAGCTGAGTTAGTCACGACACTCACTCATAGGGTACCGTACAAGATTTTTTTACTTTTTCTTACTTTCACTACACATTATAAGATAAAGAAATACCTTGACTGAGCCCAGGCAAGCATTGGTCCCAGCCTCGCTCCAGGCACACATGTCATATAAACTGATTACAACACTTTTTTCAATCCGCAACACAATAATACGCTAGGCTGGGATTAATCTCGCTTGCTCTGCCCTCTTTATTTTAAGTGATATTCATACCAATAATCTAAAATTTTAATGTCTTGTTAGTTTTAAAATATGTATTTTAAAAAATATTTTTAAAAATTAAATGATATGAACCCTTTTTTTTTTTAATAAAGATGGGTACACATACGACAAGCAAGCCATTTTAAGCTGGATGGGCAAAGAACCAAGGAGTCCCATGACAAACATGGTCCTAGACTCAAAAGATCTGGTGCCTAATCGTACACTTAAGATGATGATTCAAAAGTTTTTACAGAAATCTTAAACTTGGTCTTACAATCTTTGAGACCCAGGTTTGTGGTTTTAAAAAATGTGCTTTTTACCTTAACTCACTCCCCTTATGGAGAGTCGATTATGGAATATTTTTGATAATCTGAAATTTAATTCTTTAATATTTCATTGCTATTTTCTCTACACATAATATTCTTTATGTGTGCTGAGCAACAAGTTTTATTATTACATTATTTTCATTTGAATTCGGCTGTTGCTGGCTTTTTAAAAATAAAAATAACTTGTTTGAAATTATGCAATACAAAGGAAAAGTGTGTTCCAAGTCAAATTAACTACAAATTAATTAAATCGTGGAGGCAGTAAAATGTATATCAATTGTACCGGTACAATTTCTTCTGTTTTTATCCGAAGTTTTATAATGTATATTAATTGTCGAAATTATTAAAGCTAAATGAATTTAAAATTAGATTGACTTTGGTGAAAGTCAATATAGGTGGATTTACATTCAAACATTTTTTCTAAGTAATTCCCAATGTTTAACTCATACATTATTTGAAATTGTTGTTTATGTAAAGGTCACTTAACTTATAGCTAAATAAAAAAAAAAAAAGATACATTTATAAGATTCCCCATTTCCACTGAACATTTAAAAAAAAAACTTTTATCTTCTCATCAAAATGGTTTCATTTCATTTATTAAATTGTAATGCTATGAAATCAAACCAACATTAAGATTTTACCACACATCTCTCATCAAAAGTGCCTTCTTCCTTTAACATTTTATCTGGAGTTTGATAGGGGGATACCCTCACCCATGTACAAAATTCTTATATAACTTACAAACCAACTCAAAAAAAAGGGAAGAGAAGGTAGTTTGGGGGGGAGTTTGGGTGGGAGCTGCTTATGAAATGTGTACTGGGTGGTGTAGTTGGTCATCTTGACAGTGTGTGTATAAAGAAATATTGATAGCCTGGATCTTAACACACTGGATGTCATTAATGCTACAGCAAAACAAAGACCCACAAATAATTGCAGAAGCTGATATTCCCAAAAGCTTATTGTTCATTTGAAGTTTCTACACTACAAGCAATTTTTTGTGTTTTGTTGTTTTGTTTGTAGCAAAAATTACCATTTCTTTCAAATTGATTTTTTTTTTTTTTTAAATTCTTTAACGGCTTTTGTTTTCTATGATTTCTGTTTGTTTTTATTCTTGAACCTGATAGCTACTATTTCCAATTTTTTTTAAAGTACTGTATTAAATTTCAGTCATTTATGGGATTAGTGACATTTTAATTAATATTAAATAATGCTAATTTAATTTAATAGTATTTTAACTTAAATCAAAAAGTTCTAAGGCATGGTCCTTATTTAACATTCAATGAATTAATTGAATAAGATTGTTGTTTGTGTGTGAACTAAGTAAGTCAGGTATGTTCCTTTTGACTGCAAACTTAATGTTTATACACATGGTAACTACTTTGTGCAATTTGAAATTTACCTGATTGGTTTCATTTTGATATTAGTTAGTTTTCATTCTTGACACTTAAAATATGAAATGCCTTTGGATTTTTCTGAATTATTCATATTTAGCACATTAAACTTTAAATAATGTAAGGGACCCCCCTCCTCTCTTTCCAACTCAATATGCGAAGTCTAATATTTCATTCCTGCTTTAGCACCTTTGGCTGCCTCACTACTTGCTTCCACTCAGACCTAACTAATAATTTTCTTTTCCATGCTTGGGTTCCCAGTTGTAGATCTTTTCCCACAAGCTAATAATATGTTAGAGAGCTGAAATTTGATATTCTCACTGTATATTTTAATTTTAAGGTCTGTAAAGAGTTTAGAATTAATATAATCTGAAAAATTCAGATATTACATATTTATATGCATCAAAGATAGCACAAATAAATGATATAAAATTTCAATTTCTAAATTTATTATTACCCAGTAATTTTATAGGCATGTTAGCAGTTGGGTCAACAGCATGAAGCCCATATTGCAGAGGTAGTGGGCTTTAATCCCTATTCTGGCCAATATTTTAAAGAAGAAAAAATTCACTTTTGTTTCTCAACTACCGGTACCGTACAACAGTAAGTTGTCCCCAGACTTCTTAATTAAAATATGAAAAGGCCTCGCTTGAACTAGTGCTTTTTTTTTACTTTTATAATAAAGAAAACATGGTACACATTTTACCAAATATTGTTTGTGTGTTCTGCCAATACAACCTACAGCCACAGGCAGCAGTTTTGAGCATACAGCAAATTTCCATGTAAGAGTGTGTTTGTGGGCTGTAAAATGTTGCACACAAAAAAAAAATTGATGCTGTAAAACTTTGCATACTGCTGTATGATTTTGCACTCAACCAAAAAACATTGCCTACAGCCCAATTTTAATAATTCATTGTAAGTCATTAAAATGTTATTTCAAATATGATGGCTCTCTGACTCTAGCCACAAGCATGAAGCCTTATTTTATCATAATAACTATTATACACACCAATCTTAACTTAAGACTTTACCTGTGTATAAAATGCAAATAGGTGGCCTTACATTTTAAATTCTTGTACTGTAGTACAGATATTAAATTATTTGTACTTATTTCTGCACTAACTTTGTGGACCAGAATGGACTGTGTAGAGCTTTATTATTCATTGTGCTGGTTGTTTTTTTAAAAGCTATTCATATTTTCCTCTGTCTAACTTGAGCAGGCACTCACTCTATATAGTTTTTTATATGTTTATTATATAACAGTCAGTAATAAACCTGACTCTTAATCTGTGATACTTTCCTGTTATTTATGCAAATATTATCACATACTTCAGTATCTTCAAATTCATATAACTGATAACTTTGGCCTTGTGTACAATATGACAGAAATTAAATTTATGGAATTTTAAAATCATTTTTGAACACTATAACTATAAAGGTTTGGTTCAACAACATGCAAAGTGTGACATTTTAAAAATTAAAATGCAAAATTTTATGGATTTGGAATGCAAAATTGTATGGATTTTTTTTTTAAAACTTAAAATATGTACATACCCATTGTACATTCCAAAATGTATTATAAATGTTTTCTAATAAATATTTTTACTGTAGCGAAAACTCATGTTATTTTATTACTTTTATTCATTCTTTTGTTTTAAAAAAAGACCATTATGACCTTTCTTTAATATTCAAAACTTGAAAATGACTTGGACATCTAACATTTGCATCAACATGAAGCTGAAAAAGCTCATTCATTGGTAACACAGTTGTACAAAAACAATAGAAGGTGAACAATATGTAGACATTTTTTTTGAATTTAAAAAAATAATAACAATAAATCATATGGCAACTTATAATAGATGGTGATTTTTTTTATCTCATACCAGGCAACATTTCAAATATTCTTGATGAGAGTGAAAGATAAAAAAAACAAGTAGTTACACATTGTTATGTGCTATTGACCTTGATACCAATATTGAAGTCATTTATTATTATTGCATACTATTCTATTCAAGTTAACTTTTAAATTGACTTAACATGTAAAAAAAAAAAACATTTGCCTTCAAAATGGAATCAGGGGAAAAGTTGTCTGTACATTAATGATGCACTAAGCAAGGCAACCAAGCGTTCCTTTGAAATAAACCATCAGGATTACTCAGGGTCAAAGATGAGCTCGTGAGTGCCTGCAAAAAGGCCAATAATAATATTCCTCAACCCGGTGACTTTCAATAGCAGCATTTTTTAAAAAAAAGAGTAGACTTGTAACCAAATATTAAATAGGTTTTCAAAATAAGATTAAACTTAGCTTTAAGGACTAACTTTCTCAGCATGAAAGAGCTGGCTGTGGGGATATTCAATTTAGGTGTGTATGTTTTGTTTTTTTAAATATTAATGAAATATTTTAAAAATTCAAGTAATAACACCCCCCCCCCTCCCCCAACAAATACAAAAAGCACCAAATTTAAATAAATCAGTATATTTGAAGTCGAGTCTGCTTGTAAAAGAAAGAGTCTTTCAGATTAATAAAAAATAATTACTTTTTACTAAATAGGAATGATAAATTGTTAACTGTATTTACACTTCAAATAGAAATTTACATAATCGCCTTTCCAATTTTTAAAGATGTTACATTCTAAAATGGACTGTCATTCAATACTCTAATATAGAATTACAGATTTTTCTCCTTGCACAATTAAACATTTAAATTAAAGTATATCCTTTATCAACATTGGCCATGATTATTTTACTTATCTCAAATCACTGATGGTGTTAAAATATCTTTTTTAAATCACAGGAGTATGAAAAAAATCTTACACAAATAAATGATAAGAAAGACAATCTGTTCAACAAGTGAACAGCAACAAAGTCTTGATATATTATTTGGCTAAGTTAAATAATGCCTATTTTCAAGATGTAAAACTTAAAGTATGAAAAAAATAATCTTAGAAATAAACAGCCAATTGAACAAATTAATTTTCCCAAAAATTTTTAGAAGCTAATGAGTATATTATTGAAATGCCCTTCAAAATTTTTTTTTTTTTTTTTAATAACATGATCAGAGGCACAGCATCAGTTTTATTAAAGGAATATATACCTCCTTTATTAATTATTTTAGTCTGAATTTCACAGATGAAAAAGAATCTTCAGAGAGGCAAACACTTCTCTCTTTAATTATGAAACTCTAATCATGATATACCTAATATTACATGCAAATTAAAAGTGGTAAACACAGTCATAGAAACTAGCATGGATCATTTGAATGTACAGTTTTTATGAGAACATTTTAACTTGAAAAAAAAAGTTTCCTTGGGATGCTAGTTGTTCACAAAATATTTAGTGAAATGATCAGATCATGTACCTGAGTGAGTTATCCTACTGTTTTGGTAAAAATGACTGGTGTGTGGCAAAATGGTTTTGAAAGCCTCTCTAACGATGTATTTACAGCAACATTTAGCTTTCTAGGCCATGGCTTAAAAGCAAATACAAAATGCCATAATTTAATTTTTTTTTTTTAACAGCAACATTTTGTCTTGCATCAGTAGAAATTTGTACATATACTAAAATATTTTTAAAATACTCCCAGGCAGTGTCAGACAATTTCCTTTAAAACTATAGGAAATATAACAAATTTAAGCTCATACTAGATAATTTTCAGAAACAACTCATGCTCCAAATTCTATAAATAAGATTTTACTGATATTAACAAAACAATAATTTTCAAGTCATTGGCAACAAATTTCTAAAATAAAAACAGCAAAATAAACTATCATCTTCCGGATGTATCAGATCAATGCTAAAAAAATGCAAATTTGGCAGTGCTCAAGAGTCAAAGAAATAAATATGCATGGTTATAAAACCTTAATTCAGCTAATTACAACTATAATCTTAACCATAACAACGTAGCTCTTGAAGCACAATTAACGTCAGATTAAGAATGTGATTTGTTAAAAAACATTTTATCCAGGCAGATCAATGGCAATAGTAATTTACAAATTTTGCTTTCATGCTTATCATCTTGCATCACCAGTTTAAGATCCCACAATTTGTCGCAAATGAAGTGAGAAAAACTTAGCACTACCAGATTAAACAAAAAGCACTTATATTTTATAAACAACTCCAAGGGGTGTGGAGGAGAATTTCCTTGTAAATTTGTATGGCGTCCCCATACAAACTTTCAAATCATAAGCTCAACATCATGTGTTACAGAGAAAGCACATTTGGGAAAGCTTTTCATCAATGTACAAAGTTAAGATAGGCCGGCATTTGAAGCTAACTCACCCCGGCCACTTTTTAACTTACAGCTTCTTATATAAATGCCAATTTAAATTGATGCAGGACTGCAGGACTCACATTAAAATGTACTAAATGATAAAGTGAAATTATTTTTAAAATTTATTAAAATGAGCTATTTAAGGAGAGGTGCTGGTGAAAAACAGACACACAAATTATTTTTTTTGGAGTATTTTTCGGTTTTGATATAGTTGGTGTCTCAAAACATCTTTTTATTTAAAAAACATTAAAAAATTATAAGATGTTTAAAAATATTAATTTTCTAAGTCATTTCTGACAAAATGTGTTTTTAAAATTTTGTTTTGTGTTATTAGTATTGCCCACCCACCTCACATTTGAGTCAATAGAAAGCTGATTTTTTTTTTAAATTTAGATAAATATAGCTTCCTGGCACTACAAAGATACTGAACCCTTCAATCTGCATTGAATCATGTTAAAATATGGGGCTGATCTACTTATGGTGTCTCTGCATATCTTATGCATCAACTTTGAATAAAGCAAACATTTTGATTGGTTACAGCTGTGGAAAGTTAACAATAGTCATACTTCTTTATGTTCTGTTTCAAACGATAGTAATACTCACTTGACAAATACATGCAAACAAATCCTTATTCAGTGTATAAGTGCTCAGACTTTAGTCAGTGAGGTTTGCCAATGCAAGTTAATTAAAAATACTTTTAAAAACTATTTTCTATTTTATTTTTCCAGCATTTCTGTTGTCACCTAAATGCTTCTTACTTTTTAAATTCCAAACCAAATTACACATTTTCTCAATATGTTCTTTCACTATAAATAAAGATGATATTAACCTAACTTTCATAGTCAAATTTATAAGGTCTTAAGGTTTTTAATTTTAAAAAAAAATTGTGGATATCTTTTATGACTTACCGTGGAAACAAAAGTCATTAGTTTTTTTAATTGTTTTTTTTTACAGCTATTGTTAAACCCAACATGGATATTTAATTAAAAAATCACACAAGAAGCCAAAAATTATTTTAATTTTTTTTTTTTACATTTTTCACCCACACCTCCCCGTATAATGGGAAATCCCCCTGAAGCATAAAATAAAAAATGTGCATGTTTAAAGCCTCAATGCACAACAAACTATTGGGTTTCCTTATTTGGAAAAATGACACAAAGTTATGCACTTTTCAAAAGAGATCAAGTCCTGACATTAAAACTAGATAATTTTCTGAATTATTAGAATGCTATGTTTAAGAGACCTTTTCAATTTTGTAACTACTATTGAATGAACTATTGAAATGCCCTTTTGTTGAACATCCCACTCAAAAGCACTGTTGTAGATAAAAAGAGGCATTGGATGGAAGTGACCTATGTTTAACAGAGTGCCATTAAGAATAGTTCTTAATTCTCATTAAATTAAAAAACTAATTGCTTAGATTTTTTAAAGTGGTAAACATTAATGTTCTCTTTATCAAAAGATAATTTTCTAACTTTCAAATAAGTTACAGGTGAGAATGAGAAGTTAACTCTAGGTTTATGAATGCTATGTTGGCAGAGTTCTGTTAACTAGCAGATATTGCTCGGGGCAGCGACAGCCGTAAAGAACATTTCTCATTTCTGTGCTCTTTAGAATCCATGAGCTCAACAGCAAAGCTACTGGCCCTAGATTTACTCCAGGGATTTTTAGGATTGGGATAATCCAGAGAAGGTGGTTTCACCCCACTGCTGGGGAGGGGCAAGAATCACAGACCTCATCTTTTGTTCTTACTCTTTCTGGGTGTATCAGAACCTGTCCATTCTGGATCACTAGGGTCATCATTTAGAGTACGCCTCATCCTGCAACGTTTAGGGGCTTCACCTCCAATCCACTCAGGGTCATTAGGGTCCTCCCCTATGGATGACACAGACTCATTACTAGGGTGAGGTGAAGGAACTGCACTGGCATCTTCTTGATTATCCACATTCCCACCAACATAAATTTTGCCTGATGGCTCGGCAAGTCGCCTCGTGACTCTTTGATGAACTGGTTCACAGCTTGGAGGCAGCTCCTCTCTCATCAGGTGGTACTCATCTTCTGATATTGGAAATGTCCTTCTGGGCCACGGCTCAACACCACCACAATCAATAAGTGAGTTATGAATATCATCGAAAATCACAGAACTACTACGATCTCTCTTGGAAAATGAAACTGTCCGACGTCTGGCACTAATATTGTTCTGCTGGCACTCTACTAATGAATCATCTGTATTTGTACCTTGTGGACTGCAAAAAAAAAAAAAAAAAAAAACAAAATATAATTAATAACAAAAAAAAAAAAAAAAAAAAAAAAAAAAAATCTGGCACTCTACTAATAAATAAACTTTATTTGTACCTTGTGGACAACAAAAAAAAAAAAAAAAATCCAAAATCTAATTACTGGCTAATAAAAATAATTAAAGGAAAATTACAAATCTGAGATTTGCAGAGATAATGGATTAATTCTAATACCATAATCTGTGCAAATAATCTTGTAATTTATTTTAACTTGGAGGGGGTTGTAATAAATGTTTTTAAAATTAAAAAAAAAAAACACACAAAAATAGACAAAAAAGACGTCCTTTGAGAAATTGTTTAAAAAGCTTTTTGAGCACAAAAAAGGAACAGCTAAGAACTTAATTAAATCTAATGCCACTCATAGACAGGGAAAAAAACAACCTCAAGTGAATCTTTCTTTCAAAGATAATTCAAGATTAAGAACAGTAAAATGCCCAACAAATTTAAAGATCATCTTACCATTTATTTAAAACTGGTGTGGGTGGACGAGATGAAACTGAACTATCTTCTATAAGTGCAGTGTGAGTTGGAGTTCCTTCCTCAGCACCATTTCTATCAATGGGCTTGCTAGGGTTTGCTTCTGACCTAGCCCTGTTACGACGTACTGGGGGATACTGAACAAAATTGCGGAACCGCTTTTTCTCTTCTTGCTCCAGAGCCAAGTGTCGGGCAGCATATCTCTCATCAGAAAGATCCTCATCAGGCTATAAAATAACAACATGTTAAAATATTAACCTCTACTTTAGATTTTAAAAAAATAAATTCATCATTTAGATCAAGGTATAAAACAAATTGTATCATGTAAATTCAAAAATCTTAAACTACATACCTCATCCTCAGCATCATCAAGAATTAGTGGTTCCACTGGTAGCGTTACACCATTGGTTTTTTCTAATTGTTGAGTCAAAGTAAGTTCATTATCCTCTACCACAGTTAAGGACTTAGGCAGTTCCCTCCATCTGAAGAAAATTGTTTAAGAAATGAATGGAAGCATTAATTTAATTAACATATTACCGATTTCCTGTTGATTATGAATCTTAAGAAAATAAAAATGTCAACCTTTAAAAAAAACTACTAAGAGGACACCTAAAAAAAATATCTAAAATAAAATGGTTTGACTTATTAATCAATGGTTTCACTTACTTTGGAGTAACAATTTCTTTATACTGAGGTTGTTCAATGCGTGTGGAAGCGGCCATGCTGAGTGGAATTACAATGTTGTTAATATCAAATGAATTGTCCACCTTTCGTTTCCGGTGGTGACCTTCCCTTAAATCTTTCAAGGAGGACTGTGATGCACTACAGAAGAGACCATTATCTCGATGACTAGACATGCCTGACTCTTGATCAAGGAAAAGAGCCTCTAATTCATCATCCTCCTCATCATGTTGATTTCGTCTCAGTGCATCTTAAAAAAAATTGTGTTATGACTTTAAATCTTATTTGTTATCTCCTATTGGACTTTCCTAAGAATTTTACTAAAATGTACATCACCAAACATAAAATAAACGTATAAATATAAAACAAAATTCAAATGTATATTTCAAACAAAGATTGTTAAAAAACACTTCCAGTACCAATGGGTTATAATTTCAATTCAAGCCACATTATAATGGCAATTAAACTTTAATATTTAAGGGTTTTAAGGTTAAAACCCTTTAAATTTACACCCAGTTCATTACCTTTTGCAGCCTTTACCGCCTTCCTTTTTGCTTTATTTACTCGAGGTTTGAGAGATGCTCCTTTCGTTGATGTTGAATTCCCCTTGGTTTTACCCTCGTACTTGTTTTTTATTTCTGTGAAAAAGAGAGTTGTAAAATCAAAGCATCCAGTTTTTTAATACATCAAGGTGTTCAGCTTTTTTCATTGCTGAAAAGGTAAGGTCATTTTAGATGTTTAGTGAAATCCTTATATATATATATATATATATATATACACACACACATATATATATATATACACACACACACATATATATATATATATACACACACAAACAAATCAACTTAGTTGATAAAAAAATAAATAATTTTTTTATAAATTGTTTAGTGAAATCCTTATATATATATATATATATATATATACACACACACATATATATATATATACACACACACACATATATATATATATATACACACACACACAAATCAACTTAGGTGATAAAAAAATAAATAATTTTTTTACAAATAGAATTTAAAAAACCCTGATACACCCATCGCTTCTTGTTTTCTTGAAATAAAAAGTATAGCCGTTAAAAAGCCTGTGCCCGATGTATTTCAAAGTAGAGGTAATGTAACAAAAAAATACAGCTCATTTTTTTGGGGGGACAACCCAAAAAAAATTTAAAAATTGGGAAAAAATATTTGAGAAAATTTTGTGTGCAAATATGGACCAACAAATCCATCCAAAGTAAGGATCAAATAACATTATTTAGAGGCTATATTCACCAGGCGTGCTTGCACTTTTCTAACTTACAAATTCGTAAACAATTCAAGGTAATGAAGCGTTGCAAATAGCAATGCGATACATAAAGGGACATTGCATACCTCATGTATTTGGATTCAAAAACTAAATGCACAAAACCTAAAAATGTGGAGCATCCAATGTAGTATGCAAATATCTCACAACACTGCAGAGAACCATGAAAGTTACTACACTTAAATTTCTTTAACCCAATGTCAGTCGATATCTCAACACTTCGTTATTTTGAATTTAAAAAAACACAATATCTAAGGAAACTTGACAATCTGCCAGGTAGTGACCCAGAACCAGGTCACAAGAGCACAAATACCAGAAAATCATTTAACACTTAGCTAGGAGTTTGTTTTGTCTAGATGTATCCTACAAACAACTATATTTGTAATTATAGTGTTAAATCTGACTAGCAACTGTCATTGTTAATAGTTATAAAAAATGGCAATTGTAAAAATTTACATCCAATCACAAAACATAGTTTTTGAGCAAGACCTGCACAGTCCATCATCATTTTTGTGTTGTTTCTTTTAAATGTCCAGGCATACACAGACGATAGTTTGATGAAAAGAATTTGAAAATTACTTTAAATATAAAAAGAAGCAGCATCTAGCCGATTGACTATTTGCACCCACAAATGTATTATGTTCGGAATTGTTTTTATTACTGCTTAATGTTCATACATGTACATTTGAGAATGTGAAAGCAATAGGCCCCGTAAATTAAGTAGAAGGTTAAAGAAAAAAGGTTAATTACTTGAACCTGAGAATAAAGTTATCATTTTCTCCAGACCTGAGATTCCTAGTTTACAAAATAAAAGCATCACACTTTCAATTTATGAATTTATAAACAGCTTTTTATTTTATTTCAATATACTTTAGAAAGGGTGAATGCTTTTTAATTTCTTAAATATAGGTAATAATCTGTGGATACAAGTTTTAGAGGGTAATGAGGGAAAAGTATAAACTAAGTGGGCCATAAAAAAATAATTTTCGGAAACACTGCTCTGATGATGATTTTTACTAACTAACCAACTGATTGCAAGAATTTTAAAATTAATTTCATTAGTCTAATTCTTTAGTCTAATTCTTTAGAGCATGTTATCAAACAAGACTAATTTTACTTATGTGTGTGTCAGCTTCCATGATGTAAATCAAAACTATATGGATTGTCAATTCCCCAAAGAGTAGATTTCATTAAATGCACAAATGTTGATTTTTTTTTTTTTTAAGTTAAAGAACTACCACACACTAGTTTTGTAAAAAATATTTCTGCTATTTTTTAAAAAAAGAGCTTTTGCTGTCAGTCATTATATGAAGTAAATCCAACATCGGATAGGTTCTTATCTAACAATATATTTAATGTATCCGTAACATACAAGGCAGGAAAGAGCAAAAACACTTGAATTTAAACAAAATTCAAATGAAGTTTAAAAGAGGCAGACTGAGTCAACAAAGCCAAGAACACTTAACTATGAAATCTTAAAACTCATAATCATAATTGTTACATTACAACTTACTTGCTGAAAAGTTTATCACAGAAGCTGAATTATTCTTGCCATTCTGTCTGTTACCATTTTTCCTCACCGGTTCTGCAACTAATGCAATCACCTTCTGACGTCGATAATCTCCCACTCTGGCTCTCCGTGGAAGAGGTTTGTTCTGCCACATACCTGATTTTAGAAGTCCCTCACAATGGATGGGTAAATGAATGTCTTGTGGGAATGAAAGCACTGGATGGAATGAGGGATCCAAGAGGGCAACTCTCTCTTTAAATGGCATTGTATCTGGATCCACAGTCAATGTATTATTATAACGACCCCCACAAATCGGACAAGGATTGGCAGGAGGATAGCAACGACAACGGACATCTGACAACCTCGCTGCCTTTGAGTTTGTTTTATAAAGACCGATGGTTTTAAGTATTTTGCGTTTACGGTAACTCCGAAGGGGACGGCATCTAGCTGACTGACAAGTTGCATCGACTGATGTATTATGTTCAGAGTCATAACTCTTTGCAGATAACCGCTCCGAAGAAACCAATGGACTATCTTCTGCAGTGGTCTCTGTATCAGTGGTTGCAACACTGCAAGGAGACTCTGTAAGTCCATTTACATATGGGGATGAAATTTTTGAGGAGCCTGCTGGACTGCCTATCAATGATGATGCAGGAGATAAGCAATTTCCTAATGACTGAGTTAATCTTGAAGCTTGCTTATCAACATTAGACATGACAGCTGAAACATTGCAGGGTGAAACCTCACATACAATAGATCCCTCTGGCAGCTTGTCACCAGTGTTATTCACCCCTGCAGCTTTAGGTTGTATTCCCTGAATTCTACGTAGCATTTCAGCAGTGGATGGTGGGTCACCTAAAACAACACCTCCTTTGCTATTCCTGAGTTGCCTATGAATCTGACTCTGCTGCCTAATACGATATTCCAAATCAGAAACTTGTGCCTGTAACCAAGTCCACCTTGAAACAACAGCTGATCTATCCATGGCCCATTTCCACTCTGCCCTTTTTAATCTAAAAGATAAATAATATTTTGTATGCATTAAGATATGATTTTTACTTTTAAAATCATATTTATAACAAAAATAACTGTGTAAATTATGTATCCTTCCATTAGTAACCATTCGCACTTGCAATTTCAGTTATATTAATTTTTCAAACAAACAAAAAAGTCTTTGCTGCACACAAATTATATTAAGAACCACAATGAGTGACGGCAAGTAAACCGTGTTAACGTAAATTATAATCATTTCAGCAACATCATAAATGTATTAAAGAAAAGGTGTGAGCTTTGAGTTTGGGTGACTATGCAGAGTAATAGAGGGTTCTATTTGATGAATATACTGACTTGAAAGAAAAGCCAATGCACAAATTCTGTATCAAAGACTCAGAAATCTTATTTTGTATACAGGTAAACTCTAGTTTATAATATTTTTCTACTCTAAAGCATAAGCTTTAAGTTTTGCCATAACTTGTTTGAATGTGATTATGATGAACACCAATGCTTAAAATTTTAGCTTTCATAACAATACACAGTAAATAACACCCCAAAAATATATATGTAAATTTCACGAGATCCACTGATTTAAGATCAGCTTAGAGGAATATCCGTAACAAATATAGATTATGCCACAATCGGTGAATCATTAAATTGAAAGTATGCAAATCAGGTGGCCGTGGACAGGGACATGAGTTCATAACACAATAATGATGATATCAAATGTAATGAAGTTTTTCACCCCAGCCCCTTTATTAGTTTTTATAAGAATAATTTCTCTAACCACTAGCCCAATGGTTTAATAGATCAGTCCCCCTCACAATCCCCCCAAACATGATTGAGCACAAGAAATTCAATTTCAAAAGTATTGAATTATTGTTTGTTGAATTTCAGAAACAATCTTTTATGGCTGTGACTATTTCGTACCCGGGTATCAGAAGTGAGAGGTTGGGATTAAAAAACTATTTAAAATATTATTGTTGGGTTTGTAAGACAAAATGAGGTATCAAATGAAAGATAATTCAATGGACTATATGTTTGTGAACTTACTTCTTCAGTCTAACTAAAATAAACTACCACAAAAGACATCCGAATAGCATTATTATTAAAATTATTATTATTATTTTTTTTTTAATTTTTAAACAACTTCTATACAAAAAACTTCGTCTAGCAATTTTCCTAAGAAATATCCTACAAATTTCCGCTAGTCTCAATTATCAGGTTATAAAATGTATAATCATGATAAAGAGATTAGAACATGTTTCTGAAAGTGACTGTAAAATAAAAAAACAGGCCACAGGAAACTATTTTTGAGGTTGCTTTTAGCAGTTCCAGTTTGTAAATTCACTATCTGTAATTCATGGTTTTTAGAAATTATTTGTGCAAATTCTAGTAAAAACTGTTTTCTTACATTAATAATTAAATAAGCTGATAGGTGTGAGAATAAGGAGGGGGTGAGAGAATGGGGAGGAGGAGAGAGAATGGGGAGGTGTGAGAATAGGGAGATTTTAGAGATAGAAGTAAGCCTATAAACCACAATGAACCACTGAGGAAAAAGAAGGTGCGTTGTTTTCCCCAGAGTAATCTATTATGTTTACCAAAATGTAAAAATTAAAACAAATAATGGGATGCTGAAAACAGAAATGTTGTTACCAAGAGTTTGCAAATTAACTGCCTGAAAGATTTTTTGCAACAACAAGTAACTGTCGCAAATAACACCCCAAAAAACTTCAAAACCTGGAAAATTTCATCAGATCCAATGATTTGAGGCAGGTTAGCGGAAGAAGAAATAATTTAACTTTTAAAAGAATGTTTTTTATGAAGCCAAAGTTAAAGAAGACTTGTATCAAGGGTTCTGGAATGAAAGATCCCTGTTCTATGTCCAGCTGCACAACTGGCAAACAAATGGAATTCATAGTTTATGAAAACATTGGTAACAGACCTGCTCAGTAACTGAACCATCCATTGAATAACTGTCACCTATTTCATCTGATATCATTTTTACCCTATCTATTGTATGGGAGAGTGGTCTGTACAACATTTTCTCATCAGTCCACATCAGTCATTCCAAATTATTATTTACACATTATACAAAAAATTTAAAATTTTCTTTGGCAAACAAATTTATTTTTTTTAAATTCTTAACAATTATTGTAAACCTTTGAACTATTAGTTGCTAATCACAAGTACCAAAACAAATGTTGAGATTAGAACCACTGGTCTACATGTGCATTTTTCTACATTAGAATTAAAGTGCTAGTCTGTAACATTTGAACTGCTGAGACAATATATGTGAAAGAGCGTATCCGGAAATTTGATCGAAAGAAATTTCGTCGACGGTAATTTGATCGAACGGAAATATGGTCAAATCTTTTTTTCCGTTTAAATTTTGCTTCAAATGTCTTTTAGAACGCATTATTTTGTTTTACTATATAGTACAGTGCGTTCAAAAAGAAATTTGATGAAAATTTTAACGTGTGAACTGAAAAAAAAAAGATTCGACCAAATTTCCAGTCGATCAAATTACTGTCGACGAAATTTCTTTCGATCAAATTTCCGGTAACCGTGAAAGAGGAATGTTAGAGGGTGAATGCCCATCTTAGCCAACTTTTCTTTTCATCAGAGTGTGGAGGCCACTTGAAAATGATAATTAATGCCATTAAACCCTTTCTTCTAAGAAATAAAGAACTATGTTTTTTTTAAATCTTTAAAAACAGTGGTTCTCAACTTTCCTAATGCCGCAACCCTTTAATAGAGTTCACCCTGTTGTGGCGAACCCCGGCCACAAAAAATTTTCGTTTTTCCTTTTTAACTGCAGAGCGTTTGTGTTTTCAGTTGGTCTTTGGCGACCCCTGGAAAAGGGTCGTGACCCACAGGTTGAGAACCGTTGCTTTAAAAGGATGTTTGCCCCCCCCCCCCTCTAAAATTACTAAGTACTAAAAATAGTTCACAGATCGTCGCATGATGAAACATTTCTCGCGGGGTGTCCTGCTGTTACTGGCTGGTGAAACTTGAATGACCTCGAACGCCGGCACTGCATTCAACGCGTTTTTTTTTTTTTTTTTTGTATCAGCGTGCCGTGTTCTGCCTTAGTCACTCCTTATAGAAAGGTCGCGATTACAATTAATATTCTACGTAACTATTTGCAAGCTTCACTACCCCCTCCACACACACACACGTGCTCACTCCTTTCTTTTTAAACCAAAGTCGCCTGGGTCATTATCCTTCAACACTATCAATCGTCGCACTATCGATCGGTGTTGTGTAGTGTCGCCAATAAAAACTGACACGCAGCAAAGGCAACTGACAATTCATTTACATCTGCCATCGTCTGCCATGTGACGGAAATCCGATACAATCAAAATCGAAAAAACTAGCTAGTAACTAAGTGTATACGATTTAAAAACCATATTAGAGATACTCCTAAATAACAGTCTTCAGTCAGTAAGTGCTTACCTTGAGCTTTGAGTGTATCAGTAATCTCACCACCATCCCAACCCCCCAAAAAATTAAACTGTTTAGTCGGTTATTAAATGGTGGTGTTCACAATTAAATTTAGGCTATATAAACTAGTTAAGTATCTAACAGAACAACATATTAAAGTAAATAAAATGTGTAAAAACTATGTGTATATGCCAGGTAAAAATTGAATTTTAGTAGCTAGAAACTTTTTTTTTAAAAAAGATGTTTTGAAGCTACTAGTCATATGTAATTCCCAAACAACCAGTCACATTATGTAAACAATTCACAAACAGCAACACTTGGCCTACACATTTACACATAACCATAGATCTATATATATCATATTACAAACTTGTCCTGGGGGAATTATATAAGAAAATAACCCTACACTATATATTACACCTTTTTAATAGCCTACTGACTACTGTAACCGTAACCCCAACAATTTAATGACAAGGCCTGTCTTTGAAAAGAGAAGGTCTCCCTGTCTAACAAAAATATAAATCCTGATCTTACTTGGCATTTGTTGGGTGATGATTTAATGAAACCAACTTCTTTGTTGCATTTTTAAAAATAAAATAAAGCTCGTCTCCATTTTCAGTTTGTGCATATAAAGTATAATACACAGATGAGTTGGTGATTCCCAAATAAAATGTCAATTCCAATAGTCAATAGCTGGTAATGTAATTGTAATTTTAGGCCTACTAAATCAACTTTGTAAATATTTTAATAATACTAACGAATAATACTAATATGGCGAAAAATGCTTAAAACCTACAATTCAACATTTGTTACTCAGTCATTTTTAATATGAGCCTGTCAACATAGACAATGGGGTACAATGGTAACTTGCAGCTATCTACCATAAGGTACGGTAGTGGGTTATGATGTCACAAGCTTTGGTTAAATAGCCAGGACAGTAATGTGGACTTGCTAGTTTGTCACCTATTATAATTTTTTGCGAGGTATAAGTCATGAGTATTTTTAAAAAACACAACTAAAAACATATAAAAGAAGGAAAACCATATTTTACTTGGCTTGGGATTAAAACCCGTTTGGTTACAAAAATCTTTTTGAAAATCTGTTAATTTGATTACCAGTCAAATTTTGTTTTTAAAAAATACATCAAATATAAAAATATGCACATACTTATAGGTCTGATATGAGTATTTCCAGAGATGGAAAGAAATAACACATGACTATGACCCCAAAGATATACTACATGATATGCAATATGCTCTTCAAGGTAAAAGCACTAAAGAAATATAATATTTATTATACTTACAATGGAGGCATTTCAGCAGAAAGATGATTTGATGGTAATCCTAATGAATCTTCATCACCACTTTCTCCTCCTGAGCTACTGGCTGTAGCATCAGAATCCAATTCTGCTGCTGTTATCTCAACTCTGTGTGAAAGCTTTTCCGAGGTTTTCAAAGCAGCACATCTTATTAATGGGTCCATTATCACTGAACCAGAAGTTACCATATTTAACTTTGGAGTCTTTTCAGATAACTGAGTTGCTCTGCTTGGTTGATAATTTTTAACCAGCTTGACAAGCTGAGCAGCTGACATATTCTTTACATCCTCATTACTAAGGAAATGCTCCTTTAATTCTGCAGGACCAGGTGTTTCATTCTTGATTGCTTTAGCAACATTTTGAAGGTTTTTATGTTGAAAATTTACAAAATACCTTAACTGTTCTTTAGTATGAGCTTCCACTACCTTTCCTTTCATACGCTTCAATCTTCGCAGTAAATTATCCACATGTCTCTCCAAGTAAGCTTGTTTTTTAACACAATCTTTTCTAATGTCTTCTTTGGACCTTTCCTCTGGTTGAGTTTCAGATTTAGATGCAATGCTCTCCATAACCACCTGTTTCAAACCCTGATCCTGCTTTAAACTAATTCCCATTTTTACTGAAGTGTTTAACTTGCAGTCTTTACTAAAAATAATAGATCTTTCTTCAGTGTTCAACTGAATACCATTTCTAACAGGCGCATCCCCCTTTTCATCACAATCTTTCAAAAATCCATCCCTCTCCCTTTGACAACTAACCTCTTCACCATTGACCATAACGGGAGGTAAAATTTTAATCTTTGTAACTTGTGAGGAATTAAGAAGTTTATCAACATCCCCAACAAGGGGCTCAGCTTTGCTCTGCTCTATTTGTTTGTCAGCAGCAAGTCGCGGCTGATTCATTATCTTCAAATCGTCAATGTGTGTATCTGATTTTTGTTCTTTTTGAATACAAATGTCACCTTGTTGAAATTCAAACGCATAAAACTGTTCAATGTGTTTAAGCTGTTTGATACTTCGAAATGTGCTTATATGTGATGAAATAGTTAATGTCTGAGGACTGGTAGTAGTGGTCAAAGGTGTTGACCTCCTTGGGTCACTAGTACCGTTAATATCTTCCTTGCCTTTTGTTATTGACAGTCGAGACACCAGCCGGTCGTTTGACCTTTGATGTACACCCAGGGTGTTTAAATCTCCATTTGACACGGGAATGTTATGTTCATTCACCTTTTTATCAGACTTAATTATAGAAAGTGATTCGTTTTTTGCTGAGGGATCTTGAAGTTTGAGTCGCGCGGTGGCCGCTTCAGTCAGCGCGGGTGCCATCGCGGCCAAACATATCCTCAGCGTTGATGAGCCCGACATAAACGCATTTAAGCAGCGTCAAACTAACAAATCTAAATAATATTGATAAAAGCTTATAAAAATCTAAAATATAATTTTTTTTAAATAATAGGATTCCCAAACTAAAATGAAAGTGTGAACCTTATTCTGAAAACACGCCGTCGTTTATGTAACTGGGACAAGCCTTCAGACTATAGAAAGCACGTGACTTGGTCGCAAACAAGGAAAACGAAGAAGCCAACCTGACTACGATATCTCAAATGCATTAATCAATCATTTTCGTGTAAACTATACATTTATCGAGTTGGAAACTATTACTCCTCCTCAAAGACCAAAAAGGTCTAAGTATATAGCGAATAAAACAAATTGCGTAATTCACAGTTCTGTTTGTAGAGACAAATTTCACAAACCACACTTCTAACACAACATAACAGATTGACCACGTGATCAGGCCACGTCCTTGTACTCCACATTATGTGTGAAGGATGTTGAAGTATCCACCTGTATTTCCTCCAACGCTGATAATCCCAAAGAAACAAAATTAATTAGTACACACGAATATGAATTTAAGTCCATAAAGTCAAGTTGGAAGTAGCAATATTGTCACACTAAAGCATAAAGTCATCATTTTATACGACGGTAGCGACGACTCCCTGTCATGGCGGCAAAAGTTGATTCACAATATTACTTTACAAACAAAACGTCCAACGCGCAGCGAAGAACTGCATCAATACTTAGACCCCTCTGAGAAGAAATTGCTGATTGGATGACTTGGGGGTCAAAGGTTAGATCATGAATATTCATATCGCAAACGGCCAACCCTACCAAACAAAAATACCAAATTATAAACTTTATCCGTTTTTAACATATATTAGGCGTACAGGATATTTAAAATAATTATAATTAAATTAGTTATTTAGTTGATAAATATTGTTAATATTTCACGATGAAATTCTCCAGAAATAAACCTTTGCGCTATGCACTACTGTGGTATTGAAAACAATGTCGATTGATTGCCATAAAATTCATAGTCATTAACCTTTAAGTTAAGCTACATTGGCTACATGATGCATAGAAATAGATATAATTTTAGAAGACTATCTAAATCTATTAAAAGCTTTGCAAAAACACCACGTCTATCTTTCCATCTTTTATAGCATGGAAGTGGGGTTATAATTTTGTGTGGGATTGTTCTGAATCCGTTTATTTATCGTTGTAGATTAATGAGACAAACAATTTGTGTAATTAAAAACAATTAATAATAATATAGTAGGGCCTATATAAACTTTAATTATGGTTACACAGTATACAAATGCAAAATTTTCGGCCAATGCTTTGTTCAGTACAACAAAAAACATTCATATAAGTATTAAGTATAAATGAAATTTATTTAATATACAGTAAAGGTTTTATTATTTGTTCCTTTAGTCCCTTCGTGTTTTTTTTTTTTTTTTTTTTTTTTTTTTTTTTTTTTTTGTTTTTTTTTTTTTTTTTTTTGTTTTTTTTTTTTTTTTTTTTTTTTTTTTTTTTTGTTGTTGTTGTTTTGTTGTTGTTTTTTTTTAAAGAGAAAATGAACAATAGTGTAACTGGACAGAATGAACCCGTCTGCGCAAGCGGAGCGTCTCCGAGGAAACTTGTGGACGTCCACATGGGGTTCTGCCTCTTCGTGGCGTGGCGGACTAGGAGGAAGGTACCGTTCTCCAGAAGCAAAAAAATCCCGGCCGACCGCATGACTCCCAACGCAACGAGAGTTAGGGTGGCAGTTAAAACCCATGCCGATGATTTTACCTACGACCCACCGACGCCATTTCCCAATGTGACAGAATGAACAATTAAAATAGCTTACCGATGACAATTTTTTCTCTCTAGATTTTAGATCAGCAAATCTTTTTATTTTATATATATTTCTATATTTATATTCATTATATTCAATATCATTTTCTAAAAAAATAATTTCCTAAGAAGTCATTATGTCTTGAGGCATGGATGATCTTAAATATGTTTTTATAAGCTTTAGTTTACTAAAGCTCTCGCAAGCGGCAACAGTAATTGGAGCATTAATTCTTAATACACAGATTTGGCATGACATCCTGTAACTTATTAGTGTACATAAATTTAGCGGCTTCCATTGGAAGCTTTGCATAATTCTTTGGCTGTAGCTAGATTAGTCAACAGATCTCGTCCATTTATATAGTTCTTTTCTGGATGCCTTAAGTTATTCTTCAAGCCTTGGCGTACTGCTTGAAATTTATCTTTGTCTGGCAGATTTATTTTTTTTAGGTCATTTAAAATCTCAATGTGTTATTAAAACTTTGCAACTCTTCAACTATCTCCGATAAAGAATTTATAGCTCTGTTTGCATGAACACGTGCTTAAAAAAAAAAATAGAGAAAAATTCTGGGTCGTCTGCATTTGGAACCTCGTCGGTGCACTCGTCTTCAAACAGCCTCCATCTCCAGCTTCCGTGTCTAAAGATGGGTTCTACATCTTGATCTGTAGATTTTGTGTGTGTGCTGTCTCCAGTGCATTTCCAAATCCATTTTCACGACAATCAATTAAATAATCAATGACACTATTCACGAGTGAAAGCGCAGTAGATAGTTCCACATGGGCGTCCTTTGTAGTTTTGCTAACAACATTTACCCTGCCTAAGATATCATCGGAAAATGTTAAGTTTAAGTCCGACACCTTATCTAATCTACTATGTGTGATACACGTCTTAGTGTTTCTGCTTCATATCGCAAGCCACTAAGGATTTGCGAAGAGAGATAATTCAATTAAGTACCGAGTGGAATATATTACACAAATCTCGAGTATACAAGCAATTTAATTTAATAATTTATTTATAATCTATTTATTAAAGTAAACTTCGTAAATCGAGGAATCGCACCGGGTTTATTCGCTCAAGGGTGCTGAATATACACACTTGTGTGTAACTTCATGGCGCCAACAAGCAATGCTTGTTCACATTTATTGTCAAGATCGCTGATGGCGTCCTATAAGCACGCGGCACCCCATCTCATCTGAAAATGTTTAGTTAAAGACCGGCAATTCGGTCCATCTCATCGGGAAATGTTTAGTTAAAGACCGGCAATTCGGTCCATTTCATCGGGAAATGTTTAGTTAAAGACCGGCAATTCGGTCCATCTCATCGGGAAATGTTTAGTTAAAGACCGGCCATTCGGTCCATCTCATCGGGAAATGTTTAGTTAAAGACCGGCAATTCGGTCCATTTCAACGGGAAATGTTTAGTTAAAGACCGGCAATTCAGTCCATTTCAACGAGAAATGTTTAGTTAAAGACCGGCAATTCGGTCCATTTCAACGGGAAATTTTTAGTTAAAGACCGGCAATTCGGTCCATTTCAACGGGAAATGTTGCGACAAAAAACTCGGACCATTTCACCGGGGAATTTTTTTTTTTTTTTAGACGAAGAACGGTAACTCAGGTCTTTTTACCAGTCAATATATTTTCGTCATTTTTGTTCTCTATTTTATTTTTTTTTGTTTTTTTTTTGTTGTTGTTTTAAGTTTCACTTCCACCACAATTAAATTTCTTTATTTCGACTCTCTCTCTCTGTCTCTCTTCACAACACCACTATTGTTGTAGAAATATCTTTAGTTCTTGTAATCTCGCCAACGTTTTCTTCACTGCTTAATTGCAGAAGTCTGAAATATGCCGATACTTTTGTACTAGGTTACCTTCATTAATTTTAGTTCACACTTGTAAGCAACTTAGCCAAATATAATCAACCTTAGAGCCCTCATACATGGTATCCTACATTTTAAAACCCAGCATAATTCGTGAGCATCCATTATCATTAAACAAAAAAAATATTATTTTTGAAGGAAGGTTCCCACCCTTGTTCAAAGATTGATTCTTCCATAATGATACGTTTAACAACTTTCAGACGTCAAAGTAAATGAACACTCAACACAATCTTGTAATCTTACGCACCGTGCGCACAGGAAAGACGTTCATTTTTCTTTCTTATGCACCAATAAAAACTTATCTCGAACACATTTGACCGACCCTAACCACAGCGCAAAACCAAGACACTCTCCCATTTGTCAATTGTTCATCAACTTCATTTTTGTCCGCGTTTGTTTCTGTGTTTAAACCGAAATCTTCAGACGGCCAATTGACCCACTTCCGTCATCACATCGAGCTCAAACTTAGCACATAGACTCGCTGCCGATGACAACACATTCTTTCAAATTTTCAGCTCCACCCCCTGCCCCTAAAAATTAGTAAAAATCAGTTTTTCCTGTTTTTCAAGGGGGAAAATGAGTGAAATATGATTTGTTCATTGGTTGGATATTTTGGTGTGGAAATTAACAGTGTAGCTGTTGCTATGTGCTTTATATTTGTGACTGACGTACTTGGATATGCATTATGAATTTTAAAAAAAAAAATGTATTTTGTAGGGGGAAATGAAGGCACTATGAAAAGTACTCTCACCAGAAGTTTACCACTTCACATAACCGCTTCTTAATAAATTGATAACTCACGTAAAATTACAGAAATGCAAACAATATGCATCATAAATAATTTATAAGAAAAACTTTGTTTTTTAGGAGTGGTTTAATTATGGCTCATATCAAGATAAACGCGAGTTTCGGCCCACGTGGACCAGCCTGAGTTCTGACCAAAAATGGACCAAGCCTGATTTAATTCTAGGATAATAGAAAACGCCTACCGTGCGAAATTTCAGCACCATACATCCAGCAGTTTTCAAGTCTATAATTTTCCAGCACCATACATCCAGCAGTTTTCAAGTCTATAATTTTCCAGCACCATACATCCAGCAGTTTTCAAGTCTATAATTTTCCATCAAACAAATAAACAAAGACATCCATAAAGGGTCGTCCATGAATTATGTCAGTAAAATAGGGCTGGCGGGCGTTGGACAAAGTTGACAATGGTTGACAAGGGGGAGTTAACAGAAACTGACGTCGATTTTATAACATCATTAATTACCATAATTAAATAAATTGTTGCAAAAATATTTGTTCATTTTAATGGCAAACAAAATTCAAAATATTAAATGGTCAGATTAACACCAATAATGAGTAGAAATTACTATTCGCTCCACAAAAAGAAAAAAAAAAAAATACTACTAGTAATAATGATGCGACCAAGTTGAGTGGCGGCCAAAACCAAGAGAGGTGTTTGCCATTACTGAACAAAGCCGGTTACATAATAGTATTGATATGTATATGATAGAATCAATTGGCATGCACTATAACAAAAAGAGAAGCATTGTGTTCGTCAAAGTAAAGATTGACCCAACAAATTTACAATTATAAAATTGGCGCTGGTCATAAATTATAGTTATTACAAATTTAAAAGTGGTTTTTTTTTTTAAATTTAACAAAAGTATTGTTTCGAGCTTGTTCCCTGCCGATATCTTTAGCTATTTAAAAAAAAAAATCTGTATTTATTTATTTATAGCTTATTTTCTTTGGAAAGGATAGGGGAGGGGGTTAATCAATTTTATTGAGATAATTAATTAATTGGGGGGGGGGTCTTTGACATTGGGCAGTTGTTGAAAAGAGGTGAGGGAGGGGTCAAATGTTGCCTAAGAAGTAGAAGTGTGAAATGGACGACCGCACATTGCGTTTTATATAAAAATAGATTGTATAACATTTACATAAGGCAGTTAGGGGAAGTAAATCTATTTTAGCATTTAGAATTTATTATATTCACTCCATACAGTTCGTCCCCTTTGATTTAAAAGATTTTAAAAATTTGTGTCGTCCTCTAGCAATAATAAGTCAACGATTGAGCAGCTAATCCTTAGAAATCCTAACAGATTAAACTAGTTCCATTTTTTAAAAATGGTTCGAATGTTTTAACAGGTCATAAAAAAATAAAATAAAAAACAATAAACAACTTGCAGTCATGAAAAAAAAATAATTTGTATCAATCTAATAGGACAGCCAACTTTACAGTAATTACAGCCTCACACCATTTCAAATAAAATATAATTATAATTTAAAAAAAAAAGACATTCTTTAACAAATTTATATTAAGATACAGTAGGGGTCATGTACATTAAGAAAAATTATTGACCACTAAGTATTGAGGCCTTTTAAAATTATATTAATTAAATTGAAATCATGGCCTCAATGTCAAATTACATAAATTAAACTGAAATCATAGCCTCAAAGTTAAATTACATAAATTAAATTGAAATGATTGCCTCAAAGTTAAATTACATAAATTAAATTGAAATCATAGCCTCAATGTTAAATTACATAAATTAAATTGAAATGATTGCCTCAAAGTTAAATTACATAAATTAAATTGAAATGATTGCCTCAAAGTTAAATTACATAAATTAAACTGAAATCATAGCCTCAATGTTAAATTACATAAATTAAATTGAAATCATAGCCTCAAAGTTAAATTACATAAATTAAATTGAAGCATGGATTAAAACTTTGACAAATGGAGTCACATTTGAGTCATGTCCCTTTTGGCTTTGGGGTTATATAATTTCATAAACTTGAATTTAAAAAACAAAAAACAAAATTTGAATAAGCAACAGAGGAAAGATTTATAATCAAATATAAAATATCCTTGTAAACATGCAGATTTGTACATACCTAAACATGTTGAGTAACTTTAAAAAAAAAAAAAAATACTCAAGCCAAAGTCTCCCACACAGCATAATATTGATAATCACAATAATGGTTTCTATTGTTTTACTTTATAAAATAAAGAAAAATGTCATGTGTATTGTTGGTTGTGTATCACTCCATGAACTTATGACTAGTTTTACCCAGATTAACATTGGCACTAACACACAATGCATAGATCTTTCTAATTATATTTTATAAGTGTCAATAAATATAAAAATATTTATATTCAATATACTTTGAATTATATCGATGAAATAAGGAATGCTTCTATTGCCAGGGAACCCATGCCCCCCCATGATGTGTTGGGTTGCCACGATCATCATAGGGTTGATTGCCAGGTGGGACCATTGTACTGACGTAAGTCTTCAGACGATTAAGAAGTTCTGTCACCTGCAGATGATATGGTATTTTTATTTTAAACATTCAGTTAAATAGGCAAGAAATCAGTATATATGTACCTTTCAAACAAAAAACAAGTTGCATGATTAAAGTCAGGAATAATTTTAAACTTTCTTCACTTTAGGAGGATGTAACCCAGAAGTCATCGCGCATCAAAGGACTGCTAACAGTCAGTCACAATTTAATCATTTTTTTAAAGGGAATAATTTACAAAAAATTGTTTTATACATCTATCCCTTACATAATAAGAGTTTTAAACAAATAATAATTCAAATCAGAAACTAACAATTTTCATTTCCTTAACAGTGCTAATATCTCAATGAAATAATTACTATGAAATGATAAATGTTAAAGAGCATTTAAATTATTAAATTGCAATTATTGCAATTATTTCCCTTCTAAAAAATAATATTAACAAATTTAAAATCCCCAAATGGGAAATCATAAGGTCTACTTAGGTTGTGAGAGCAGCCATGGTAAATTAAGGTGAAGCCACATATACTTAAATTATTGCGGTTAAACACTTTGGAGGAAATCATGTTACAAAAAAAAAAATAATAATTCAATAGGAGATACAGGTTTTTTGTTACTCTAATTAAAGCATGCATTATCTACTTTCAGCAAGGACTCATTTAAACAGTTGGTATTCTCTAAATTTCATGAAAACTTTACAGAAAAACTCACCACTTCTGGCTTAGTGTATGCCAAGTTGTAATATTCACAAGGATCCGAGGGGATGTGATACAGACAAGGTGCTACTGATGGGATACAGTTGCTGCTTGCATTGGCTGGTTTTGGCCCACAGTTCAACTTTACCGGAGAACCTCTGAGGTTCATGGCATTGTATTCATTTTCACCTCTCCATAAATGTCCCTCAGGGACAAAAGCCAACTTTGAATCCCCATTGTGGCTTTGACTAGGGTTTATTTTACTTGTTGTTTTTGCCTGGTAGTGCCTGTATCTTGCATAAACCTCACTGTCTTCTAAGAAAGTGTACAGTTCTTTCATTCGAGACGACACTTCTGGTGGCCAAAATTTATTATATTGCTTGTGTAACCTGTCTCTCAGCTTGGTCTCACCTTTGGTTAAATCAGACCTGCCCTCTGTGAAATTAGAAAAATGGAGAGCTTGCTCATCACCACTCAGTTGGTAGGGTGGGTACCAGCCATCCCAAGAGGAGACAACATTTCCTATTAAAAGTTTATAATCTCCAACTCTTATGGCAGATGAATCATCATCAGGATCGATGTTATGTAAAATCTCAGATCGCACTGCAGCACCATTTGAGCTTAGCATCTCCCAGGAGTCGAACCCGTCAAGATTTTTTAAAGCAGATGTGTCACCACCGGCAGCTTTGAAAAATGTTGGCAACCAATCACAGACATGGAGCATCTGCTCAGAGACGTACCCCTGCTTCTCAAGGAGTGGACTGTGTACAAGCCCGACACCCCTGACCCCACCCTCCCACAGTGTTGCCTTCACACCCCTGAAAAAAATTAAAACAATGTTTTTTAGTGGTTCACTGAATTAAACGGACGATTTTTGTAATAAATAACTCCAACACGTTAACATATTATCTTCCACACTTATTTCAGCACCACAATTAAGTTATTTAAGAGTATGAAAAGTCAATAGTTAAATTTTAAAGACATGAACATTTTTGAAGAATCTCTTTAAAACACCAAACGCAAAGGATTTTTAATATCAGTTAACCAGCAAAATGATCAATACCGATGGACTCCAGACAAAATGAATTTCAAATAGGAATTTTTCAGAATAAATACCTCGAGAAAAAAAAATGTTGAATCAAATATAAAGATAGTTCCTGTGTGATGTTGATAGCTTTTAAAAACTCGTCCCTCTCCCCCATAGACAGCGACGAGGCCATGACAGGCAATTCAGGCTCATACCAGCAAGAAGCCAGTATAGGAGCTTCTCATTCCTGCCCAAGACAATCAGGGACTGGAACAATCTTTCAAAAGGAACGGTTGAGGCAACAACACTAGACACATTTGTGTCTATTGCCTCAAGCCTTCAAACCCCTAGTGCATGATTTCCTCATCAACACCAGTAACAGAAACATTGCAAATCCCATCTACATGCATAGGAGCCAAAATGATCAATAAATTGATCATGGGCCCTTAAGATATAGAAGAAGAAGAAACTGCAACTCAAATGCAAAGAAACAAATAAGCAGTGGACGAAGACAAAATTCATAAGGTTAACTGGTGGGGATCTAAGGAAAGGAAGTAACCTGAGGGGGTAATTGTTGGCAGCATTGAAGTCAAATCCATTGGCCGGTCCCCCATTGTCCGTAGTAAACACAATGATGGAGTTGTTCAGAATGCCAGTGTTCTTCAGGGCATCGTAAACTTCACCTACGGCATCATCAAGGGCAGACACCATTGCTGGAGGAAATTGTAATAAACATGGATGGACATATTCATATACAATTTAAAAAGGCATTATAAGGGAGGTAATATCAATAAAGTAAAATCCCTTTGCTTTAAGGTGTATAAGTTTGTCCCTTGAAAAAAAATGTTTGATAGTGAATATTTTATTTTATAATTAAATTTTGAATGGTTGATAGTGAAGATTATTATTGATTTTTTAATGGTTGATGGTGAAAATTATTATTGATATTTTAATAGTTGATGGCGAATATTATTACTATCAATAATGTTTAAAGGGTTGATAGTAAATATAGGGAATTTAATTTCTTTCTTATTTATCATGTTAATGATAGATGATTCTGTTCCGTATGTTATATTTCATGAAGTGATAAATTACTTTTTTAAAAAATTTAAACTGAACTGAAACTGACAGTGCATTCTGTGTCAGATCATATTTGTGTCTGAAAGTGTGTTACATCATATGAAATCTTTAAATTCTTGAATTTGTGATTTTGCAAAGCGAATCATAAAAAAAATGCAAGTAATCATTAGAAAAGTGGTTCTCAATCTATGACAACATCACAACCCCCCCCCCCCCCCCCCCCCACCCAAAGGTTTTTGGGGACCTTTTTCGATTATGATAAAATTTTTATCTGATATAAACGATTGCTTTAAAAGGTGGCCATGATAAAGACTTTTTTGCAAATCCCAATGGGGTAACTGATATTTAATCAGACCTGCATAGATCCTCCGCTGTTCATTCTGGATGTAGCCAAATCTGTCAATGTATTCTTTGGGGGCCTGAAGGTGAGTGCTGTCTCCATTACCACTGTGGACAGCTTGGAAAGGTAGGTACAGGAACAACGGCTGTAGGGATCGGAATATCACTGATATCAGATTGGAAAGGTAGGTACAGGAAAAATGACTTTAGGGATCTGAATATCACTGATGTCAGATTGGGAAGGGAGGTACAGGAACAATGGCTGTAGGGATCTGAATATCACTGATGTCAGATTGGGAAGGGAGGTACAGGAACAATGGCTGTAGGGATCTGAATATCACTGATGTCAGATTGGGAAGGGAGGTACAGGAACAACAGCTGTAAGGGTGGGAACATCACTGATGTCAGGTTAGGAAGGGAGGTACAGGAACAACAGCTGTAAGGGTGGGAACATCACTGATGTCACGCCAAGAAGGATAACTATTGCAGTATGAAGATAGCACATTATAATATCTAGAGGTGATTCATGTGACTCATGTTCAAATTAATCATTTTGTCATGGAATAAGGCCAAGATTTGTGCACATATTCCCTCAAGACACCCACATTGTCATAGACCCATAGAATAAAGAAACCTTTTACACATATTCCCTTCAAGACACCCACATTGTCATAGACCCTTAGAATAAATAAACCTTTTACACATATTCCCCTCAACACTAATGTACAATACAACTCATCCATGCACATCTCCTACACCCCCACAAGACACACCTGCGACTTATTATGTTCATTGATGATTTTAACAGCTTCTTCCTTGAACACCTCAGTAGAATATTTCCCGGTGTAGTTCCACAACACTTCTTTGTCCCTTCTGAAGTCCAGTCCCCACTGGCTCTGCGGATTAGATGATGACCTTACTCAATGCTGTGATACAAAATGATATAGCAGCCAGTTATCGAATTCAATAAACCCCTTTACCAGAAAAAAAGGAATATATTAATCATAAAAGGGAGATAAATCACATCATAATAAAATTGATACAATCCAGTCAATGGGTTTTGCATGTTCTAAACTGAATAAATCAAACCATCATTTATTTATTTTAAAATTAAGAAGAAGAGTATCTCATGTTTCTGGGGTTGCAAATATTATGATACACACTGTGACAAACCCCGACACACAGTGATATATAAACTATGATCTACCACATCAAATGCGTAAAAAAAATAAAATAAGGCAACCATTGTTGCTAGCACATGACATTGAACTGAGTCACTATATATATATATATATATATAAAGTTTACACAATGATGATGTAAGTGTTTTTATGTTTAGAGCATAGAGGAGCCAATAGTAGCTACAAATTAAAAGATGAAAAATTAGTTTTATTAGAATACAGCTGAGAATAAAATCAAAGATGTTTTTATCGTTGTAGAAGTGACAAAAAGAGGTGAAGTCCCAGGCTCCTGTTGCAGTGAAAGAGAAGGACTTATTTTAATGGGCATAACTCCAAACTTATGGATGATACAAGAACATTCGCTACAACATCAAGGGCCAGTACTTATGTGCCCCATTCGAACTTAATGTTGTGAAAAGATGCCCCATTCAAACTTAATGTTGAGGATAGGTGCTCCATTCAAATTTAATGTTGTGAAAAGGTGCCCCATTCAAACTTAATGTTGTAAAAAGATGCCCCATTCAAACTTAATGTTGTGAAAAGGTGCCCCATTCAAACTTAATGTTGTAAAAAGATGCCCCATTCAAACTTAATGTTGTGAAAAGGTGCCCCATTCAAACCTAATATTGTGAAAAGATGCCCCATTCAAACTTAATGTTGTAAAAAGATGCCCCATTCAAACTTAATGTTGAGGATAGGTGCACCATTCAAACTTAATGTTGTGAAAAGATGCCCCATTCAAACTTAATGTTGTGAAAAGATGCCCCATTGAAACTTAATGTTGTGAAAAGATGCCCCATTCAAACTTAATGTTGTGGATAGGTGCACCATTCAAACTCAATGTTGTGGATAGGTGCCCCATTCAAAATTAATGTTGTGAAAAGATGCCCCATTCAAACTTAATGTTGTGAAAAGATGCCCCATTCAAACTTAATGTTGTGAAAGGTGCCCCATTCAAACTTAATGTTGAGGATAGGTGCCCCATTTAAAATAAATGTTGTGGATAGGAAACACATGGGGACAGAAACAAATAAAAAGAATAATTGTGAATTTTCGGTTCCATTTTGAATTAGTTGAGCTAAATTCTGGGCTACGGCGCAGAAGGCAATGGCAGCTTGCCATTGATGGCTGCAAGCATTTTGTGTACAGTACATACCAGGTCAGCTTCATATGTATGTGTGTAATAGTCCTCACAGCCTTGGTAGTAGCCGATATGAGACTCAAATCCTCTATAGAGGGGAGTGTACTCCCACTTGAACATGCCCAAATGCCACTGAAAAAAAATAATTAAATAATTCATTTATTTTAGCTACGTTTCATAAGATGTACAATAGCAGATCCCCAACCAACAGTAGACCCCCTAGTATATGCTTAGTGAAGTAAATTTCAAGTATGTTAGTGTAGCCTACTAAATTTTTTTTACTGAGAGAAACAAAGTATGGGAAAACCTAAAGAAAAAAAAAGAAAGGACATAGGTTTTCCTATATTTTGTTTCACTCATTTCTTTTTACCTAACCCGATTGCAGTCTCTCCCTCTTATTACCATTTTTTGTCCTTCATTTTATAGTTTTAAAATCATTATTTTCACTTTCTTTCAGCATATGTTTCGAGCTTTGTTAGCAGCACCAATAATCAGAAATGTAAATGACAAAAATTTGAATAAATTAAAAAAAAAAAACCATATTTTCCTATAAATTTACAATGAAAAAAAATATTTTGGTTTTAAATTTGCCCTCTAATGTCAGAGAGAAGGTGGCCTCTAACAATCAAACATAACTCTCAGTGGGAAAATGTTGAGAACCACTGCCTTATAAAATTACCATAACATAAAATACCTGCTCAACCACACATAAGGACCATTATATATAATAAGTATATAAAAATAATAAAATCTTTCAAACAAACTAAACTTTAATTGAACACAATTTTGTTAGCAGAAAAACCTTGTTCAATGACTAATTACATTAACATAGACATATAACACATCAAGCAGGAGATGATAACTGTTGCACCCAATTTTCTGATCGCCTCTGGAATGCATATAAATGAAAAAAAAAAGATATTCCAGCTCAAAGACTTCTTCACTGAGTATGAGAGCCTGCCTTAAAATTTTGTGTCTGAGTTTGTTCCTTAAAATTGGCCGGTAGCAAAGTGTTCATAAACAGGAAATGGAATTAGATTCATGAACATTAATTTATGAAGATCATCTGATAAATGCATTGCACCATTTACCACACCACGGAACACAAAGTTTTAGTATCTATTTCAAGAAAGTTATAGAATTTATGACAATACCTTCCCGACTATGTGAGAGCGATAGCCTAACTTGTTGAGGTACTGGGGCATTATGGTCTCATTCAGTGGCAGTCCGTAAGGCTGGGTGCCGACTATGACCCCTGACTGCATGCCTAAAGAAACACAAACATTTAGAAAACTGAGGTGACTTTTATGTTTTAATTAATTAAACTCTGAGTATTTATTACAACATTTTATAGGCTGTAAATTATGATTTTAGGTTTTTACAGTACAGTTCTTTTTATATGATGTTGCACTCAACACTTAATTGTGCTTTTGCATATAACAGAATATAATATACCAGCCCACATGATAAATCTTCTGAGTAAAGAAACTTGTTTTTAAGATTTTCCTGATGGAGATATTTCAATAATATATTAAATAAGCTTGCAGACCCTTAAAAATTAAATGTTCTCCTAAACTTTCCCAGAATGAAGTGCATCATAAATCAGTCCAGCCCTTATAAATTTAAGCTCATTACTTAAGAACATAAAAACATTGCTAAAACTGCTTTTACCACCTAAAACCAAGCAGAATATTAATTTTTCTATAATCCTTTTTTCAAAATAAACATAATAACTTTATTTCAAGTTACCTGTGTGGATAGGATGTCTGCCTGTCATAATGGCACTTCTTGTTGGCGTGCAGATGGGACTCACATAATAATTATTGAGAATTATGCCTGTGTAGCCCAAAAAGTCAATGTTGGGGGTTGGTATCTGATCAGAGCCATGGAAACTCACATCATTGTAGCCCTGCAATGAAAAAAACAACTGGATCACTAACATGGTTAAATAACAGACATATGATTCATCATGAAAGTGTAAACTGTCTTGGTTACACAATATCATCAATGATAATTAAACATGTATGAAAGTACAGTGCTGGAAACAGATTTCTGTGGCCCCTAGGCAGTTAAAATCTGAGTGCCACCCCCCCTTCCCCCCCCCCCCCCCCACACACATACACATTTTTTTATAAATTAAAAAATATTTAGGTATTGGTAATTACAATTAAAAAATTAACCCAGTATAAGTATTCAAATATCAGTGCAGAAAAATTAGGTTCTCTATCAAGGAGAGGGCCCCTTAAATGCTGAGGGACCCATCCTCAATTGCCTATTTGGCTTTTTGGTTAACCCAGTACTGAGAAAGTAGTATATAAGGCAAGTTGCATTATTTTGCCATCTATTTTTAATAATCTTTTCTTTGATATTTTTTTTATTCCAGAACTATTAACTGCAGACTACATGGAAAAACATCCTTCATTACTATTTTCTTACTAAACTTTCAATTTTAAAAACTATTATTAGATGTGGAGTTCTAATAGTAGAGTTAAATAGATCAGGTGTTTTCTACAATTTTTGTACTTCGCAAGTCCTCAGCAAATGATCAAAAGTACCAAATGATTTATTAATATTAATGGCAATGTAGGGATCAAAGCGTAATTTCTTTTTACACACATAAAACATAAGCTCTTCAGTGGATAAAAAATTAATTTAAAAAAAAAAAAATATATATAAATTGTATATTTTCTATTTTTTTTACCAGAGCCAGAACAATTTTCCTGAATCTGTACACAGCTGAAAGGCAATACATACAATACAGTTTTGGAATTAATTTGATTAACTAAGCAAGTTTGCAGTCTACATAAATCATTGATTCATTTCATTTTAAAAATTAGGAGCTTATCATAATCATTTTTAACATCCCGTCCTTGAGAAAGTGATACTTACCAAATCATCAGCAACAATAAGGATGATGTTTGGCTGTTGTGAAGCACCATGGCTTGTTTGTAAACATGCTGCCGCTATGAACCAGCTGACACAAAAAATTCTTAAGGATTCAAGTTTTCCCATGTCTTAGACTTAGATTAATTTTGGTGTAGGCTATCTCAGTCTCAGGAAGAACATCTCTACCTTAGACAAATGATAATTAGTAATTTGAAAAAAAATTATTACCATACTAAAGCCGATATTATGCTGTATACATTTATTCATTCAGTATATTTTAGGCATGGCAATGGCATGATGTACCCTTAACTCACAATAATAATACGTCAGTCAGTCTTTTCTAGTAGCATTGGTTGACATTGTAAATTTTATTGAATTATTATTATTAACATATGTAGGCCTATTCCATAAAAAATTTAATTGATTATTATTATTCTTATTCTCAGTTAATTTTATTAATTAGGCCTTTATTACTTTATTATTAAACTTTAAATTAATTTAAAGTATAGTAAAAGTATTAGTATTAAAATTAATAATAAAGCATAGTCATTAAGTAGTAGTATTATTATTAGTAATAGTAATATTAGTATTATTAGTCAATAGTATCAGTAGTAATTACATTTACATTAGTTAGTGTTAATGTTAAGTTAAGTGTTAGTAATAATAATAGTATTATATTTAATTTATATAAATTATAAATTACTAAATAATAAGTCAAATTCAAATAGTAATAGTATTTTCAATTAAATTTAAATAGTTATTTAGAACTTGATGAAAATGAAACGTCTTTTTTTTTTTACTTGAATTATTAATCTAATGTCTAATGACATAGTATAGTCTAGTCATTTATCATTTAGTGTTGATGAGTAGTAGTAAAGTAGTAGAGTAGAAACTAGAGTTAACAAGAGTAACAGACTTTGATTTTATTAGGCGAGTAGTAGTAGAAGTAGTATAAAATTAATTTAAAAAATTGGCTAATTTAATTAATTTAATTTTATTAATTAAAATAAATGACTACGACTACGACTATGAATTTGTCAATACTTAATATCGATTTAAATTAATAAATGTTTCACTAAAGCGTTTAATAAATGCACTTCAAGAAGAAATGATGTGAAACAGTTTTTTTTTAAACAGTACGTTTTCAATGCCAAAGTTTTTAAAAATATTTATTATTGACATAAACAACAGTGCATTAGTCACATGATATAATTATTTTTTGTATCTAAGTCACATGACTTTAGAAAATAGATCAATTAACAATATGGCTATAAAAATTATGGTCCAGTGTTTGCATAAAGCTAGTAAAGTACTCTACGAAGTCAAAAATGGTTAGAATTAAATGTGGAAGTAGAAGAAACTTAAATTTAAAAAAAATATTTTCTGCCCATACTTTCTTTGCGTCGTGCATTTTAAGAAATTAATAATTATTTACTAACTTTTAAATTTAGACTAACTCTTAGGGTGCCGTCCATAAAGGACGTCACGCTATTTTTGACCATTTTAACCCCCCCCCCCCCTTGTCACAAACTGTCACAAATCTTGGACCCACCCCCACCCCCTAAAGTACGTCACACTTTCGAACAAATTTTAAAAAAAAATTAACACCTAATTAAAATTTAATCTAAAACGCACTTTACTATTAAACTATATTAAAATATAAAATTTCCACTTAAAAGAACTATCATATTATTAAAATTACTTTAATAGTAGGATAGTAATCTGTCAACAGTTGTCACAGTTATTCATTGAAGCAGTAACTCAATCTAGATTGAATTTTTTAATTTGAAAACAAAAATTGCAAAAATTATACAATTATATATTACAGATCATTTATCTGCTGCTTTTTCATTTACAAAAGGTGAGGTCAAGTTTTAGATAATTTCCGATTATACAATCTTTTTACACAGGATAAGAAGTAGATAAGCGAAAATTGACCTGACCCAGTGATTAAATAATAGAAAGGAAACAAAAAAATTTGACTAAAAAAAGACTAGATTGACAAATTATGTGAAAAACTCTTGTACTACATTGAATCTGTTTATTATGGGCCTGTGAATTATGTTTAATTCAAAAATATTCACTGGACATCATCCATCCATGGTGAAGTGAAGTGTTCATCCATAGTTACGACCAATGTTCACTTTAAGCTGCGCGTCCGCGCAGCTATCTCATAGACGCCGCGCAGCAGTTTTGAATATCTGCGCAGAAAATTTCCATGTAAGTGTGTGTTTGTATTTGTGGGTTGTAAAATTTTGCACACAAAAAAATTGATTCTGTAAAACTTTTCACACAACTGTATGATTTTGCACACGAACCAACAAACCTTAGAGGGAACATTGGTTACGACATAAATGACATACTTTGCAAATTCGATCAAGTAAGCTGATCTGCAAAGATGGACAATAAAGATCATATAGTTGTACTTTGAAAACTCCTGTTGATCTCGGCAAGGCTATACATAAAACAAGGCTTCGCAACAGCATACTAGCGCTCCTAGCGAGAGGAATCGTGAACAATACATTCAGGAGATACGCATATCAGGACATTTTGACATAAAACTAATTCAAACGTTTCACAAAATTTGCGAAAATTATTTTCAAAGCTATTAAATTCTACTACAAAAATTAAAATAAATTAGAAATAAAATTTAAAAAATTAAATGTGTGACGTCACACATGGCCTGACCCCCCTCCCCCCTGTCACAAACTGTCACACTTTCTTACACCCCCTCCCCCACCCTCTGGAGCGTGACGTACTTTATGGACGGCCCCTAGTCTCTTAGTGAGTTAAAAACACATCTTTAAAAGAAACTATTTAAAAAAACCAAAAAAAACCATAGTTTGTTAAAATATTTTTTATTTTACAATTTTTAAAGCAAAAATTTCAACTTGTTGATTATCGACAAAAGAAGATATTATTTTTAAAATAAACAATGCGTACGAAATCCCGATTAAAGTGCCTTAACTTTCACTACTAGTAGTAGTAGTACTGCTCAGACATAAAACTAAAAGTAGAATATGACGACTCCGGCGTTGTATATAAATATAGGCCTACCCCTGGTCGCTTACCGTCTAATGACATGATGATCCACCAAAGCTAATTGGCGAAATCCCCAGCCCAAACCCTTCCCCGACTCCACCCCACTCCAAAATCCTATATTTGGGGCCACAGACTATTCGAAGCTAAGGGGGGTTAAGCTTTAAAAAAAAAAATACCCCCCCCCCCACACACACACCTTTTCCCCCTCGACCATGGTAACCAAAGTTCACACTCTCTCAGCAATTCAGATGCGACCTTACAGGTCAGCATAAGGCAGACTCGATTAAGACATTGGTGTGAGGGTCACGTGTGACCACTGCTTCTTTCAGGCACACCCCCACCCCCCTCGATAAAAAAAATCAACTGCCCCCATCCCGGAGAAAAAATTATACAACTTTAAAGAAAAAAATATTTTTATTTTAAAAATAATGACTAAATTTTAATTTGTCATACATTTAAAAAAGAAAAAAAAATAGTACGGTAACTGGTACCTTGAACAGATTATAATTAGTGGATCCTATGAAATATCTGCTCGCTTGATATATTATTTGATGATCCGTTTATTGAAGGCCAATCTTATTAGATGCTTAAAGTATTCAATTATACTGTTGATGATTTTCATCACAGACTTTCTTCTCATAATCCATTTGAAGAAATTGTATTGTTTTACTACTTTTAAATGCGCTGTAACTCGTCATTGTGGAAAAATAATAGCTAAGCCTGAACAGGCATAGTTAGTGACTTTTTTTTTTTTTAACGAAAAACGTCAGCATAAGATGGGTAAGTAGAGAATCCCCTACTTTTAATTTGAGGTCAGTGATATTATCATTTTTGTGCACTGTCTATCAAGTGGGGGGGGGGGG